CGAAAACCCACCAAGTCCTGGAACACTGCCACTGAACTATTCACTAGAACGGATAGAACCGAATCACCTAGCAGGAACCACGAGGAGGTTGTTCGGCGAGCCAGCCTCCCAGGGATAAACCAAAGCGTACCAAAACATGGTCAGAATCGACGCAAGTATTTCAGAACGAGGGGCAGTCCAGGATGGAACCACGCCATCTGTAACTTATGGCAATTGTATCTATATGGGTCTATCACTGGTCAGCTACGGGAGGATACCAAGTGGCACTTCGGCGCCCATTGTGTTTAAAAGCCGTGGTACTAAGAAACAGCTGACGCTCTGCACACAGTTGAAAAAGGTGCTCGTCCTTGTCCGTCTGTTCGGAGTTACGCGCATAATTGCAACCTAGCTGAGCTACTGAAGATCCCACGCTACCTACTTACGCATTCATATCCCCTGCAAGTACGATGAGATCTGAACTAGTAGCATTGCGTAGTGGCGCGTTCGTTCTATGGTAGAATGTATCATTGGCAGCATCAGAACTGTAGTCGGTGGGAGCATAAGCGGATCTGCATACAGCGACGCCGGATGCGTGTTGTCAGGAATTAGTAGTGTCAGATAAACCCGGAAGCAAGGAAGTATCATGTGACATCCCAGGGGAATTCTGCTCTCTACAACATTGAGGTCGCTGGGGTTGGCAGACCCTGGCAGCCGATTGTTTGCTAGTTCCTGTGGTTACGGTAGCTGGCCCTACACTGTTAATTTTTCGCTTGTTTTGGCTACTCTTTTCCAAGGTAACGGAAGTGAAGTTCTGCTGCACCTGGTTTCGATGCGGTTGTTATACCACTGGTTGCACAGTCGATGCCGGTTTGCCACATTTCGGTGCCATCATGGCGACGTCCCACTACGAATGGGTTGATCACAAACTATGTACAGGACCAACTGGAGTCAGGTGGGCAGTGTCATTCTTTCAGTTCCGATACACTTAAATTTGCGCACTTTGGATGGAAGGTCTTACTGCAGTTACACCTTATTCCAACTCGAATAGTATTGAAGCACGATTTCGAATCGGAAAGAACTTTTGTCTGAGGCCGCGTGGAACAGGTACATATTGTTTTCCTTGTTTCAGTGTCGGGAAGGGTGCATAGCTATCAGCCACGTGGGTAAATTGCGATCACCTTTTCGTTACCAGTGTTAAGCGCACTGAGCGTGTCGGGACGAACACAAGATGTCAGTTGACAGTGTCCTGCGGGTGGAACCACGGTTGAGAACACTGCCGATGGAGACCAACGCGCGACCTTGTAGGTAGTGGGCGTCTGACTATTGGTCGGGCCGGGCGTCGGCTTGGTAGAAATTTGAGTCAGGATGAGCGTGGTAGAATTCAAGCTAACTTAAGAAATGTTACGATGAGACCGCTAAACGAGCTCCAGCTATCAGAGTGTGGGACTAATGTGATATAGTATTCGTTGGACAGTGCTATAAGTATTGTCGCGAATGACAAAAAACAATACTGTGCACTCGAAAAGTAATGTTGATTCGCACGTGGATTTCAGCGAAAATCCTGCTAAAATTGCAACAACGGATGCAATGATGGTGTGTTAGACAGTTCTGTAGTGGTAGATTCACTGGATAGCGCTGTTATATCCGAGTTAGATAAGTGTAAGCATAGTAATGTACCTAGAGAATTGTGGGCAGTAAATCCAAAAAAGAGGAGCGTCGAATCATTGCGGCCGCACGGTAGATGGGGCAACGGTATCGATTGTCGTGCTTGCGATAAGAACTATGTGAGTCAGGTAAGAAGGAGACTGTCAACAAGGATATGATAGCATAAAAGAGTTTGGTTTCATCGCATACGGACGAAGTTGTCAGACAGAACAATTTTTTGGTCTGTTTGGAGCGTGCGTCCCTATTGATTCTCCTCAACACCCGATCGCTTACATTTCATCGGTTCCTTTTACTTTACTTTGCATACGATAGAATCTCGTTTTTTACCCATACTATGGACATCGATAAACCACTCGAGCTTGCTCATCTAACCCACCATCTATGAGTTCCCAAGCTCGCTTCGCCTACGCTGTTTTACTCTGCATCAATAGCAAGGCATGTGAATCGTCGATAACCCGAGCCAGACATTACAGTGAACACGGCCAGAGTTACTGCTCTGGCTTCGTGCGATAGACACTTAGCCTATGTTCCTCGCCTGTAGATCTTGGCTCGATAAATCAACCATCTTAACTGTCCTCTTGGTGCATTTTGACTGGCCAATCACTGCTGCTTCACAATGTTGGCTTTGGGATCGGCCTTCCGCGGTATCGAATGAAAATTTGATTGCGCTTTGTGTGTGGGGAAATCGTTTAAGATTTGTAATGTTTTGTCATTTGTTGCTACTCAATAGCCTCTTAGTCACGCCGACTTGGACTTTTGGATTATTCTGGGGATTGTGGATCAGTTTCAGCTTATGAATTCATTTCCGGTGGCCTATGATATGTTCCGGTGACTGCGCGCATCGCTCAGAGGTTCCTAAGTGCTTTGTCACTTACAGAAAGATACTGCTTCGATTGGAACAAAACAGAAGCTCTAGCACAAGGAGAACCAGGAAAGGAAGTTCTTTGGAGTATTCGATAAACACGCGTATCGACAGTGAGGCAGTTTACAGACGCCCAGGTGGGGAGAACTCCAACGGTTTAAAACCCGTTGCGAGCGGCCAAACAAACTACCAACAGAACAACCGGGGCGAAGTCACTTCACGGATGGCCCGAGTCTATCAGAGATGGGGAACAGATCGAACTCTATCAAAAGTCACCTGCGCGTCGATCACAGATTGATGAACAAATCAGCGGACTGCACTCGGCACAAAAAAGCACTGACAAAGTCACCTTGTTTGCTGATTAAAGGTTTGCTAACTAAATACCAAGCTCGGCCAGCACGCAAAACCCAGGACGATCAACCCGAGCTACCAGCGTTCCAAGTTATTTTAAACGTGCACCCTCTTGCTAGACTTTTACTTCAATTACAATATCATTTCGCTGACCCATTTGCCTGCTGATTCCGCATGAGGCCTGGTTTATCGCATTTCGTTCACTCGTGTTTCGGTGCCTGGCTTACATCTTATTAAATTGAGAGGAAACCTGATAGAAGTGCTCAACATTATGAAGGGCCTCAGTGATATCGGGCCTCCCGACCTGTTTGAACCAGCTGCCTCCGACCACCTGCAGGGGCATGGACTTAAGCTTAAGCGCCAGAGGTCCAAGCTAGAAATTACAGCCAAATTTGTTGCAAATCGTGTAGTTCATAGTTGGAACAAGCTTCTTTCTGTCTCGATTGGAAGCATCACTGAAGAAGCCTTCAAAAGGACTTGGATAAGTGTTGGTTAGAAATACGTGAGAATAGTTGTAGCTCGGGATGCGGATGAGGGTATGCGGGTGTTCTCCGAGCTGGCTGATTTGGTTAGATATTGCAAGTGTATTGACAATTGGCAGACCTCATAGTCTTTGATCCAAGAAAGCACGTGAGTTACTCCCGCTCTTGCTTCATTTCATTGCAAAAGGAAGGGAAGCAACCCAAAAGTCGTAGTATTGGAGGCCCTGGTTTGCATGTCGGCACAAGAAACAGTACGCCCGTTAGACGGGAGCTTATTTCATCCTTGGAACAGAACCAGAAATGAATGGAGTTGAAAAGTAATCAACACATGTGGACGGGCAGTCAGGCTAGTTTGGCCCGAGGATAGAGCAAGGATTGCATAACACATGACAAGATACCCGATACAGGAAAATGGCCACAGAATTGGCAGTGTGGGCGACCATCAAAGTAGCTAAGGCACCTCCAGACAGTGCACGGGGGCGGTGTTTATCAGTATTACCTTCCATATATGGCCACAAGAAGATTGAAATTCGTATTGTTTCGTATCACAGCCGATAGAGTGGCCGAAAATTAATTGTCTAGGTGTATAAAACGCATTCTTGATTTCTTGATCTGGGTATGGACGCGCCTCTGGATGGATTAAGCCAGCTAAGTTTAAAGTAAAATGGGGCAGAGTTGAGATACAGATGGGACGAAAGGGTAGTACTGAGTGTTGAATAGGGCAGTGCAGTTTTTATGGTATTGGGGCACCTAGGATGTATTCATCTTAGATCATGACACGTGATGCCAATTGACATCGTAATGTAGTTCTGAAACGGGGCTCATCCACTTCAACCAGTGGCAGGATGCACAAGTCCGAGATCAAACCGAAGCTGTGCGCTGCCGAGACTGCACCATAAGATCGGTTTCGTTCACGCATGGTTTCGACACGCCGAGATAACCAGAGATTCGGACAGAGAGCAGAGACATCGCGGTTTTTAGACACGTGATTGCCACAGAGCCGATTAAGCGACGAACGATTCCAACGCATTTTTCAAATCGTGAACGTCCCACTAAAGCGTTCAGCCTCAAAACGTTAGCAGCGAGAACAAAGAATAGTCAGTAATCGGATCCAACGGCAAAACTAGGTGACGTTATTTCCCGTAGCTCGGTGAAGAAGCCGATTTCACAAAGTTTAAATGAACCGAGAATAGTTATATTTTGACGCACTTGGGCGAAATGGGAATGCTTAGTTATGGGGAGCCAGGCTAAGATCAACGTAAAAGCCGAGAATCGTGGCGCAACATTGGATCGATCTACAATTGGAGGTTGAACACGAGCAGAGATAAGACGCGAATCTACGTGGGGTCAGCGGCAAGTTGAACCCTTCGGGTGGTGTTAATTGATATTAACTAGCATCTGCAAGATTGCTATGCTAGTAGTTGCCTTCAACCTATTTAGTGCGCTGTGCCCTCATATGATACGAATTTCTCGGTCCAGCTGGTCTTGGTGTTCTCATTTCGTGCGGGGCTGAACTGGCAAGTTATCAGTAGAGTCAGCGGAAACCACAACACTTAGCAGCGGTAGAGAGATACCACTCGAACCACAGTACTCATCGTCGATGGTGCAGTTAACCATTGTGGATGCTAAATGAAGTGACATCGATTGGCATGAGGTTGAGCGCAGTAGAACATTTTATTCACAAAGCATAAATGATAAGTAGATGACAGAACGCGAAGGAAAACCTCGCAACAGCTGAGATAAGTAAAAAAGGACATATTTGAAATTTGAGTGCAACTTATCTGATAAACGGCTGTGCATAGATAACCTAACGCAAACACGGTGATGTTTTTTTGGAAAGACAAAGCAATCGCAAATGATAACAGGTGGAAAAGGGAGACAAGTTCACCCTTATCCGGGCCAATCGATACCAGCAAAACAGGCGGTCACAGGATCGGGCAACCTGGCAGTCAGCAACAACGGAGAAAACCTGTCGATGCATTCGATTAAAGTGGACCGAGTGACAGATTGCGAAAACATCAACTCTTCCAAGTGAGCTGGGAGATGTGACAGAATTCGGACGAAGAGACGCAGCATAGCAAGATTTCGAGTGGCGCCCGGGTGCCTTAGCACAGTATCAACAGCCGACTGCCTTGTATGGGGCGGAAACTGATCTCTTAATTCACGGATGATATCCTTTGGAATTCCTGGGGGAGATGGAGCCGAAGTTACTTCCATCCTGCCCACATTGGAGTATGAAGGTAAATAACTGGTGGATTCGACCGATAGTGGAGCGGTGCCGTTCGTAGTAGTAATGGTCGTTGATGAACGCGTAGAAACTGTGTTCGTGCGTGGGACTGCATCAGATGTGTGAGCTTCGTCAGTGTCAGTTGCACATTTGGTGGCATTGATAAGCCCTCCAGGTACCAGCGCGCAGAATACGTAGATATGTACCTACAACAAGAAAAGACAAGCAGGGATGCTGTGAGAGGCATCGACTAGATTCAGATAAAATGATAGGTGAGGCGAAACGGGCCTTTATGTTGGCGGCGGAAAGCCACGTTAATCACACACATGGTTGGCGGTATCCGGTTTGGGATTTGCCTGTCACTGTGGTCAGCCACAGGACGCCTGTGCCTACACAGGGACCATGGGTGGCTTGTGCTGCACCACCCACAGCTCCAATCACACACCCCATATTCAGTGTAAACCCGAAGTAATAAGACCGGGAGGCATGCGGATGGGAACCACGTTTCATCAACGGAGCCGGCCCACACTCCTTCACAGGCAAAAACAAGCACTCCGTATTTGGGGAATCAATCGCACACAAGGCGGTGGCTGGACCGTAGTCCGCTCCACACTGAGTGCATGGAACCACTCTTCGAGCCTAGCACGACCACAAGGACCGTGCACCCTGTCCCCTCCAGCAACAACCAGCTGTCTCCTGGAGCCAGTATGGATGAGTTAGTGGGTAATAGACAAGTAGGCACCTTGTCAACATGCACATCAAGCGCAGCCACGCCGGGGATATCAAGCACCAGCTAATCACTTAAAATAACTATCAAAAAAGTATATCTGTTAAAACATACGGCTATGCAGACATAACTCTTCGCTAAATTAGCATATGAAGTAAGTTGGTTATCAACGAATAAGCGACAAGTACAAAATGTCCACAAGTTACTCGAAATATGCCAGAAACGCAATAAAATTAACGAAGATAGCGCAGTTGGCGTTAGCAACGGGTGTAAGTTAATAGAAGATTATTCAGGTAGGCAGAAGAAATCAAAAAGTGGCATGAAATTTACCCAGCCTAAAGAGACCTAGTTTAAGTGTAAGTTGGTTTAGCCCAACTGCCTTGAAGAAGCATCATGAAACACACACACGCATATATATACACTCATACCCAACGAACCTGTATAATTAGTCGGCGTCTGAGGAGCCATGCAACAAGCTCGACTCGAGCGGCTTGAGACATATTCGACCAGAATTCGTCCGAGCCATCTACGGTGAGATGCTGAGTCTGTTTATTTCCGGTATCTTTATCTTCACTGTCATCGGTGTCCCGGAAACCAAACTGTTCTTTCAGTGTGAGCCCGATAGAAAAAGACGCCAAAACCTTGAGGAGAACAAAGCGCACCGGTGAGGGGATAAAACAGACACTAAGAGCGTACTTTCTGCAATAAACGGAAACAGAAGTTAAAATGTGGATGAACTCGTATAGGTACAAGAGGATTATCCTGTTCTCCGAGCCGGGCAGACGTTTCGTCACCAAACTAGACAACATCTTCAGTGCGGCTATTCAGTCCTGATTCGCGAAGTCTCGCAAACCAATGCCAGATCCGAATGACTATTGATCGGTGCCTGCTTTCATTGGTTCACGTGAGTCGTTCGAGTGCGCACGTCTTCTTGTCGATCTGGTGCCTATTGCTGGCTTAACCTGAAAAACTTTGTAGACACCCTCCAGCTCCAGGTGTTTGTTGACTGAGTTCCGGCCAGAATACCAGGCCACGAGAAACTCGCGCGCTCTGCGGTTTCTTGCTCTTCCAAGTATTTCAAGGTTCTCCAGATCATACTGATGGTCCCCGGCATTCATGTGTACTAATATTAAGGATTTCTGATTGTGGCGGCGGATGGCCAGACTATGTTCCTGCAGTCTTGTGCCAAGTTTCCTTCCAGTCTGACTTACTTAGTACACGTCGCAGTTCTTGCAGGAAATTTTGTAAACTACACCTGATGTTTCTTCCTTAGTTTGTCCTTTACGTTAAAAAGTTACTTAGACTGGTTTCCGTTGTTTCCTGTGTAACATTTATCCCGTGAGGCATTAGAAGCTTCACTGCCATTTCTGAAATCCCATGGATGTAAGGTAGGATAATCATTCTTCTTTCTGTTGCACATGTGAACGCGGGTTTTGACTGGCTCTTCGACATCAGGCAGCGTAGAATAAAGCTTTTAGGGTACGAATTTCGCGGAAACATGCTAAATAGGTGGTCCTCCTCCGCCTTCCTCAGTTGCGGCGTGCTATAGTGTGTCTGGGCCCGTTTGAAAAGGGTGCTCAGGCAACTTCGCTTGTATATGGTCGGATGGTTACTGCGATAGTTTAATATCTAATCGATTTTCGATAAACTGTTGTTTCCCGTGACCCAGAAGCATGTCTTCTCACGAGCACGTCCAAGAATGGCAACTGATCATTGTTTGCTTCCTATTGGGTGAAATGGACGCCGGAAAAATATTATTGATTAGTTGATGTGTTTCTTGTAGTCTGGAGCGTTTGAGGATGATAAAAGTATCGTCTACGTAACGTACCAAAAATTTGGGCTCCACTATTGGCAATGCATCCTGTTCCAAGGCTTGCATCACTGCCTCTGCAACAGAAATGTCTGGCTCGGAGAACAGGACAATCCTCTCATCCACACACCGAGCTACAGGTATTCTCAATAATTTCGTATAGGTATCTCATACAGAGACCGATAAGACGAAGCGAGAGCTGAAGATGCCCAACGCTGTTCAATGGACTCAGTTCCCTTAAGCAACCATGCTCTGAGCACCGAAGTGCAGTGGATCTAGATGCTCAAACTAGCGCATTAGTGATCATAGTAACATTTACGACGGTGAGAAAAATGAGGCAAACAAGAAGAGGGACGGGATAAAAAGAAAGCTAAGAAGAGAGGCAATAAAAAGTAACCGCGTTGGGATGCCATCATTTGTATGCAAGCGATCGAACATAGGAGTGTTGTCGTTTCCACGGCTGCAGGTAAGGAACCCAAACACTGATGTGACTCGTACACAGGCCCCCATCCAGCTCGACAAAGTCTGTCACCCAATACCTTCCTAAGTGTCACATCACCGATCGGTCATTTCGCGGTTTCACACAGTTGGGTTTTGTGATGGTAATACACACCGAGGTACGCAGCCAATGAACAAACATAACCTACCCAACCAAAGCGGTTCGAATTAAACAGAAACCCAAAAGCAGTGCCGGAGGAATTTTTCCGAACACTTAATGACGGACTTTAAAACTACTCACCCTATGTGCCCACCAGATGTGATAATTACTACGCAAGCACCGGCCACCAAAGAGGGATAATTTTCTAAGGGCTTAAACGCAACGTGTCCATGTTTCTCATGCATACAGCAACAAAAGCAATGCATTGGCGTCGCACACTCTATCCATCGATCAGCAGGCTGATATTTTACCATTTTCATAGACGGTTGACGTTTCGATAAGCCACACGAACCTTGGTGATAAGTATAGCAGGCCACTCTGTCAGAAGTCGCACAAGAAACAAGGCAGTTTCTGGTGGTCTGATTGTTAGCTGAGCTCGGCATTTTAGCTGCAAACGTTTCGTCACCACTTGAGGTAATATCATCAGTGCGCGTGTAGGTAGCGGAGCGGCGCGTTACGAAGCGTCAGTGAATGCGAGTAATTGAACTTCTAGGTGGACGACCCATCAGTCTGAGTTCGGATCGTTCGACGGGCACATGACCATCGAAATTGATCTCTTTGATTCGTGCCTCGTAGCATAAGCATGCATGCTTCTGCAGTTGACGTCGTCGTTTGACGTATTTGTCCGGCGTTCTGTTCCGTTAGGTTTCGTTGACTAAGTCGGTGATCATTCACCCGTAGTGCTGCATATATGGCATCTAGTTCAACGCGTTGGTTGGTTGAATTGTCTGTAGAATACCATCCGAAAATTTGCTAACGCCTCGAATTTCCACGAGCTAGGATCGTTAGGTTCGCTAGGTCGGAGTGGTGGCTATTTTGTGTTCGCTGATCAGTGTTGAAACTTCACTTCCAGTTTGTCCGATGTAGTGTTTGTCACACTCATTGCAGTTTTTCTTGCAGATGACATCATTCCGACTGCCTTGTTCAGTCCTGTCTTTCAGCCTTGAGAGAAATCCTCTCAAAGTACCATATGGTTTGTTGACTACCAAGAATCCATGTGGTCGTAGCAATCTCGCTGTTAGTTCGGACAGGTTCTTGATGTAAGAAAGCAGTAACCGTTTATATAGGTGTTTTCGCGAGAACAATTTCACAGGATTGCTCTCAAAGTCGAAAGACCAAGTCAAACAATGCAGTCAGAGTGATGTGACAAACACCACATCGGACAAACGGGAAGGAAAGTTACAACACGGATCAACGAACACAAAATGGCCATACGGAGATACGACTCACATTCACTGGTTTCTACAAATAAAGACCCAATCCGGAAACAGGCAGAGACTCTCACGAAGATTTTCTTGGACAGGCGGATATAGATTACGGATGCCCTACATTATTATCAGTTGAACATGGAACGTCCCTCAAACGTTCGCAGTTCGATGCATTTAAAGAAAGTAACAAGGTTACACACCACCTTTAAGTCAACGACCTGGTCGAGTGTCGCCATAAATGAGCCTGCACATCGTCTGACGGTGAACGAGACGGAAACACTTCACCAGTCCTTTTCGACAATCGCAGCGGCATCGACACTGATTTGCAGTTCGCACCAATGAAAATGAGTCAAGGCGAGACACAAAAGTTGTAGTTTGCTTCACCTTGCTCTGCGTGTTTGCCCACATCTAACTTGGCCTTTCCCTAGCCAAATGCCTTCGTTTTGCGCACTCGATCCGCTGTCAATTGAGATTCAAACATCTTGACTCGACCATACCACAAATGATCGTGCAGTCCCATTTTGTGATTTTAAGCAGCAAAAATAACCGACAACCCCTTCTGGAATGCACACCACAGCGCAACCCTCGACATGGAGGTAATGGAAGCGCAGCACCACCGACAGAGATCGATCAGTGTGGAACTGGATCAAGGTGAAGATGACTCCTCCTGAGGATACCTTCCTCCTCGTGGTGCCAACTGGGTGGTTCGGGTTTTTCCCGTTAATGCAAATGATTCGGCGGCATTTCAGGACGCGGTGGGTTTTCGCCTGGCAAGCGTTCTCCCTGTAAAAAGTCACAAATGTCTGCTTAACAACACTGCGACGTGGCGGATGTGACTCGCCACTAAATAAGGTCACTGCCTCTTTCCTCTCCCTGAGAGGCATTGTACTTTAAGGGTGCGTTGGGCCCCCGGTCCGTCACGGACCGAAAGGCGTATGAACCATCTATTTGGTCACCGGCTCCCAACGGGTTGCGACGCCCTCACATCGTCCTGCTGCCTTGTAGGTTAGATGTTTGGTCAAAGGCTCGGGGTAGGGCCCCCTGAGACAGCCCTCTACTTCGGCCTGGGCAACCGGGTTGTATTACGCCCACAGAGGAATCATGGATCACACTGCTTACTACTGCTCCTGCTATGCCTATCTTTTATGCTAACCCAACTGCTCAACCTCCACTCACAGATCACCCCACCCCCGTCCTTCACCCATACGTACTCTTATGTTCCTCGGTCACCGTCACAAACGACCCATGTCTCGCAACTGATGGAAGTAACAGCAAAACTCCCTGTTTTCAATGTTCTACGATTGCATCCGCCTCTCACACTACCGAAGCTCCAGGTCTTCTTCGACCTGGTTCCCCATTCATCCTCTCAGCGTCTAATGTTCGAACTTTGATGCAGATCGGAAGACAAGCATGTCTGGCCCGTACTCTTGAAAACCTTTCGGTAGACATCTGTTACCTTTTAGAGATCAGACTGCAAGACTCACTCCGGTAAACCCTGACGCCAAATAGCAGTTGCGGCTTTCCGGAGACCCAGAAGCTGCCGCCTCTGGCCAAGCTGGTGTTGGAGTTGCACGGAGTGCCAGGGATGAATCCGCTCTACTTGACTGGATCCCAGTCAACAGCCGACTATGTGCAATCAGACTACGAGGTTCATGTAATGTAAACAGACGTCGAGACGTTAAGCGTACTTTGTTTGTCGTCTCTGCCTACGCCCCTACAGACTGCAGCCCGGATGCAGTCAAAGATAGCATTCATCAGCAGCTACATGAAGTTCTGCGTTCTTGCAAAAGGACTGATATAGTCATTGTTGCCGGGGACTTTAACGCACGGGTTGGCCACCTTGCGCCAAGCGAGCACCACCTTGGAGGTAGTTTTGGTCTCGGTGGCAGTCGATCAGACAATGAAGAGACTGCTTGCTCTTTGCTCTGATCACCGCTTGTATCTTTCGAGCACTAGTTTGCGGCAATCGAGGAGACACACAGCTACATGGCGCCCGCCCTCAAAAACGCAAGAGTGCTCCTAACTTGACCACATAGCAATCAGCTACAGATGGCGCGGAAGCGTAACGGACTGCCGATCGTACTGGTCAACTTATCTAGACCGATCACGCATTGATTTGTGCTAAGATTTGCATTGGATTTACGCCGTCTCCTTGTCCCTGATGGACAAATGCCGCTTGACCCCTTTCGGATTCCAGACACAGTGAAGAACGCCAATCCCATGGTCGAGAGTTGCGCAAGAGTCTGCAAATGGACCGCGAAGCTTGGTGGTGTGAACGTGCTAGGGAGATGGAGCTTGTTAGACTCTCTGGTAATACCAGAAAACTTTTCAATCTCATTCGAGTCACCGAAGGCGTTCGATCCAGTATAAGTGAAACAATATGCGAAAAGGATGGCACCCGAATCACCAATCTTCTACCACGGTTGGAGCGATGAGCCAAACATTTTGGCACGAAGTTTTGTTCGCTCCCAGCTCCATCTCCTACCTCTAGCGTTCGCGCTGGGGCCGAGTGATCTACCCCCACAGATCCTCCCTCTTACCAGGAACTCGAGCAGGAGCTACGGCACATGAAGCGTTATAAAGCCCCGGCCCTGATGGTCTTCCTCCAGCTCTATTCAAAGATGGCGGCGCTTCGCTGGTTCGAGAACTCACCGCTTGGTTCTCGAAAGTTTGGACGAAAGAGAAAGTTCCATCATCTTGCGGTGAATCGATAGTCCACCCCATCTTCAAAAAGGGCCTGCGCATAATCTGCTCCAACTACAGAGGCATAAGCTTAGCGCCCGTCGTTTGCAAGCTGTTGGTGTCCATCACACTTCGCAGGCTATCCCAACCGCGCGAATCGTAGCAGCGAGAAGAACAAGCTGGGTTTCGTCCTGGTCGCGGCTACATCGATCAAATCTTCACACTCCGCCATGAGTATCACAGGCCAACGATTGCTGTGTTCTAGGACATCCGTGCAGCCTTCGATTCCGCCGATCGGACCGTACTGTGGCATTGCCTACTGAGGAATGGTGTATCCGAGAAGTTCGTCTCCATACTGCGCGCTCTCTATAGTCTGACCTCGGGCAGGGTTAGGGCTTATGCCAAGCTTTCGCCTAACTTTGTGGTATCTAGTGGAGTTCCGACCTTATTTAACTTTGCCATTGAAGATGTCCTGAAGAACGCTCTGGGCGATTCGTTGAATGCTGGCGTTGAGCTCCTCCCAGGTAGTCGAGTTGTTGATTTGGATAATGCTGGTGATATCGTCTTGCTGGGTGACGATCCACACGCCGTCCAACTTGCACTAAACCGCTTGGCGATTGAAGCATCAAAGTATGGTATGTGCTTTTCGTCATCCAAACGCAAGGCTCTCTTTTAGGACTGGCAGGTGCCTCTGCTTGCACTCACTCTTGGTGGTGAGACACTAGAGGTTGTGGAGAGCTTTGTCTACTTGGGAAGTTGCATCACTGCTGGCGGGGCTGTTGGAGCCGAGATTTCGATGCGCATCTCGAGAGCACGCCTCGCTTTATCTAGACTGAAACACTTGTGGCCTCGCCACGACATTCGTCTCTCCATCAAAAAGCGGGTCAATTGTGCAACGGTTCGTGCTGCAGTGTTGTACGGATGCGAGGCCTGGTCCATTCGTAAAGATGACTTGCGCAGGCTATCCGTCTTCGAGCACCGCCGCCTGCGGTCCATTGTCAGTGGGTGGTGGCGGACCACGTAAGAAATGTGGAAGTTAGACAGCGTATCATGGGACGTGGAAGCCACTCGCTCGAGGATCTCGTCTCACTGCATAAACAGCGGTGGTTGGGACACGTATTGCGCATGCCTGTCCAGCGTTATCCGCGTCGTGCGTCGTTTGCGGTTGCTGAACAGGGCTGGAAGAGACGTTCTGGTGAACAGCCTACAACTTGGAAATGCCGCATGAAAAGCTGACGAAACAGTTGGCCTCGGCCGGTTGTTGTCGACTACCAGGTTAAGGTCCTAGAGATGCGGATACTTGTTGGTTGAAGACCTTGGAAGCCATGGCTCAAGATCGATGTCAATGGCGGACGTGTGCGTCGGTGTGTTGCGGTGTCCCTTCTAGCACCCGTAAAAAACAAACTGAAAAAATTTCAAAAACCATGAGTGGTAAACTTGACAAAAAAGCTTCTGTTGTTTTTCTTTTCGTATTATTCATACTATTTTCCTATTGAGCCATGATTCTGATGGCACAATATCTGTGCCACAGAGTGTGGATTTTATATATATATATATATATATATATATATATATATATATATATATGTATATATATGTAGATTCGGCAACTCGCACAACATTGCGAAACCACACCGTATGCTGTGCAGTGGATATGGAAGGGGAAAAATTCCGGCGGTACAGTGCACTGGAGATGCAAATGTTGGACGCATGCGATTCTCTGAACCGCCTGAAATTCGCCCGTTTGTTTTTATACAGTCTGGACGTGTATCCCATTTTGTTCACTGATGACGAGGTGTTTCCTCTGCAGGGCGAAGATACGAAACATGCTTAGGAAACGACCAACCTACGGCAATGTAGCGCTTCACGTGTGCAACATAGCGCGAAGCCCATGGCCTGGGCTGGGTTGACTGGTCGAAAAATCATTGAGCCCTTTTTCTTTCCCAGGAGTGTGTTCAGTAGGTTGTCGTTTAACAGTACCAATGTCTGACATTTATTAGCATCCTCGTAAATGGAAATGTTGCAGAGCAGCGTTATTCCGCAGCTACAGTCAGAAGGGTTAATGGAGAACGTTTGGTGGCAGCAGGATGCCGCACCTGCAAATTCGATGCAATCGGTTCGTGCCTACCTGAATGAGTCGGTGGACGTTGGATCGGTCGCGAAGACCTGTAGAATGCCTTGCGCAATCACCGGATCTGAATCCCATGGATATTGTCCAATGGGGATACTTGAAGCGCGGAGTTAATAGAACGAAACCCAAAAACGTGGCTGAACTGAAAGAGAACATTGTGAACGAATATAGGCAGATTTGGTTGGAGACATCGTAGAAAGTGCTCACCAACACCATTCGCCGAATGCTCATCTGCAGGAAAAACGACGGTAGGCACTTGAAACATCTAATTCGTTAATATTTACCGACATAGAACACATTTCATCTAAATATATGTAAAGAAATGAGTAAAGGTATATGCTCCATTGTACACGAGAAACACCATCGAAGGCCTGATCAGCTTGTGCAACTAGCAATTGTCTGAATGTGAGGGCAATAGTTGCATTCATGACTAAAGTGGGGTGCTGTCTAGTGGTGCCACCAGTGCGTGGGGGCAGACTGAAATCTAAGAGCATTGTCACGTGAAACTCAAGTCAAGAAATCGTTTCTATGCACCCATGAAGGGTGAATTTTCAGCTGTAACCCACACGCAATCAAAATGGTAAAGCGAACAACACTGTAACCTTATAATGTGCTCCTGGCAGTGTGATTCCCTTTAGCAGCGAAAGCAGCCTAATTAAAGCTTACGGGTTTGTTGGAAGCCCGTCATGAGGCGATAGCAGCTTTTGTGGCGATAGCAATACGGCGCCCATCGACCGGCCAGGCTGTTTTTCTCAGTTGCTAGCACAGCGACACACATCGCAGGAAACCCTTTTGCTGGTTTTTCACCTGCATGAAGGCTGACTACCGATCGATCGAAATATGACACGTTCAGTGCGGCCATGTGGTGTCCGGCTCACGTCCAGTTCTCACAGCTGAACGGCGTGCGTTCCCTAGATCTTGCCATGCGGTCGAGGCATGACGCATTCATTGCGGCTGTGGTGTCTGGCTAACGTTCACTTCTCACAGCCGAACGGCCCGGTGTACTCTGCGATCGTAGGCACACATGTGGCGTCTGTGTCCCATCTCACCCTTGTCGGCAAAGCAATTGATGCCATTGGACAGTTAGCAATTCAGCGTACCGGTATATATATATATATATATATATATATATATATATATATATATATATATATATATATATATATATATATCCTAGCAGGACATGACTCGTTAACCGTATTCTGGACTACCCAATTATTTTACGCTTTAATGTTGTTGCGACCCTATGGCCACTAACACAATTCGTAACGAACACGTACGAAAACTGAACACTCACAACGAAATCTCGGCACAGAATCACGAATGCAACACGAATCCGGCACGAGTTTATTGCCCCAACCACCAAAGGAAAGAAGACACGACCTCAGATACGAGGTCTATTAGCACGCCAACACGACACAGACCAGAAGTGCTGGAAACTCATGACTGGTTCAGGTCATGAAACGGCCTTGCCAAACCGGCCAATCACAGTTCTTGCTTGAAGTGGGAACAGATAGCGCGCACCGATGAAAAAGCAAAAATGGTGGCTAACAAAAAGATCACGGTTTTGGCTGGTGCTAGTGTAGTTCTTGGGAAATATGGCCTTTTCCCAACAGATTTGACTACTCCAACGGCCCACCGGCGATTGAGTCCGGTCTGCTGTAAATCCCTTAGTAAGAAATCCAAATTCCAGAGTCAAAGCACTCTTTCACACAGCACATTTGATCCCTCTTACCTGTATCCCGCGTTCGCTACGTGTCCCGAATAACATGCCTCCATTTTTTTTGCCTCGTTCGAAACAATTACAATAGTTTCACTCCATAAACCTTCCACAGGAAGCTCAAAGTACTGAAAAGCAAAACTGCACGATTAGGTTTTCAGGATTAGTGATTTCATCAATCTTTCTATGTTACAATCCTGCTTCCTAACGGTGTGCTATGTGCCACGCGGTTCGGTTCAGCCCCTAATTTATTTCCTACGTCTCGTGTCAATGTGTCCATAACATACCTTGGGTCGTGTCATAAGATCAGGTACACCTTATTCTGACCGCGGGTTTCATTATACCAATGCATAAACAAGCTAAGTAGGGGAAATTTAGCAATCCTCTGTTTCAATACTGCACTCTACAACTAAGTTCATCTTGCTTCAGCTAATCAGATGGAGACGTCTCCAGGACTCAAAACCACAGTTGCGTAACTACTAACTTTGATTGACGGGCCAACGAGTTCCACATGAAACATCCGTGTAGGCGATTGAGGAGTGGTTTACACATTGAGTAGGTCTTTGTTGAAGCAGTCAGAATGCGACGCTACCACAAATAGGACCTTCCAAACAAACCCCTGTTTGTCATCGGAGCACCAGTACGAAGTCACACCTAAGTCAGATAACTCATTTTGGGTTATATTGCACATCAATATCCCAAAAACACCTACAGAACAGATATTGAAATCCCAAACTGTAATCGGGATGCTATGGTGAGGGGTAAGCGAAAACTGAACAGCACACCAAAATGATACTTACCTGAGCCAAGTTCACCTTGGGGAATGTGGTGGCGAATTGGGCTATCAGTGAGGGTTCGAACCAAGCCGCGTAGAATGGAGAGAGAACGTAGCTGTTGGACGACGCGATCGGATATATGATGATGGCAAAGCCCTGATAAACAAACCAAAGGGCAGACATCAGGCAATGTGCCTGTGACTGCATTCGTACAGATAAATCCCGCAGGTTGATTGTAGGCGACAGTTGATGGATGAAACTAAGGAGTGGGAGAAGGGGAGGCTAATGAACCGGTAAGAGAACAACGCTTTGAGGTGAAGACACCATTCAGATAGCGAAAAATATCATCAGTAATAAATACATCGGTAATTGGCAAACCTTGCCATGCAACTGCACGTGACCACAGGCGGGCTGGGATAGCGTTAGGGCGCCAAATCTGGTCATCAGCGGCGACTCGAATTTGGGGCGCAGCAGACGCTTGAACTACTGTGAATGGTCCACTAAGAACGCTCAAGATGGAAGAACGTAAGCATTGTTTGGATAGATCACTGTGACCGACGCGGCTCATTGCGACATATAAATGAAGGTGCCTTGGCCAACGTCGATAGGATAACAAAAAGGAGACGTCAGTGAACGGAAAAGGCGACTGCCTATGAACGTCACCGCGAAACGAATAACCGCTTCAATGAAAGTGGCATACAACGCAGCAGAGCTACGTTCGCTCATGTCAACGAGACCACTGCTTAAGTGTTCACTGAAGATACCGGTGCCGAAGCAGTGCATGTCCCATTTTCTAAACAAACTCACATGTAGCTGTGGTGACAGGTATGTTGGGCGCATTGGTCGAAATCTAGGTGTTCGAACCAATGAATACATTCCAAAGTGGTTCCGTAAAAGAATGAAACACGCGACGGTTGCATCAGGTGAATCGAGGAGCAAGGTTGCCTCAGAAAGTACGAGGCATTTGATGAACACCGACCACCAAGTAAAACCGGATGAGTTATTTGCAGACCTCAAGCTCTTCGAGGCTATTAGTATCGATCGACAGCGCCCACTACTGTCTTCAGCAACAGCTGACAATGACATTAAGCCTGCCGTGGTAGCGAGTAACGCACTAAGCAGAATGCCACAATCGATTTCATGTTACGCTATTATGGTTCCTTCGTTATTTGCATGTACGTGACTGACGACAATGAACGAAATGACAGCGTTATCCCACAACCATCTTCTGCTGATATTCATATTTGGAAAAAGAGAGGAACAAGTGGGAAGACAAGCTGGAAAGGATTAGGAAACAAAACCGAAAACGTGTAAAAGAGGTCAAATAAGAGGAATGGAGAGTAAGAAAAGTGCAGAGTACAGGAGCATATTATCACAAAATAAAGTTATCACTAACAGCAGTGTTTAAATACGTTACACTGGTTTTTTTTTAACACTGACCCTTAATTGAACCGAGACAACTTTGTGATAAGGAATGAAAAAGGAGCCGATGAGGGGCCCACAAGAATGGTACAATTATTGAGAGGAAAGAGTCAAACAACCTTAGCATCGTGCAGTTCACATATGGATAGCTTCAGTGGTAAGAGAGCGGTGGGTAGCTGAGATAGCTTCCGAGCAACATTCATCAATCTTTCACGATCAATCTTGCCAAACGAATAGGAGTTAGTGACATCCGTTTCCAGATGGATCAACGCTGCGCAATTTGTTCTTTTTTGAGAACAAAGTTTATCTAGAAGGGGTGATTTCAGGTGTAGCACTCACTTCTCTTAGCTCTGTGCCACAGGGTGCGATCTACTCACTATTCTATTTTTATTTCGAGAAAGTTCCTACGTCGTTAGCATTTGCCGAAAATAAATATGCCTAAGTGTTATTCTGTGGTGTATGGCGCAAACTATTGAGGGATCCTCGATGCATCGGTTTGGATTGGTAGAACAAGTGACATGGCCACCAACCAGGTCTTTTGCTCGTGACGCTTCAAAATGCAATGGTGCAATATTAGCTTTATCGTCCCGTTACGAGCTGGTTCTGAGTGACAGTATCACATCCGGTTCATTTACTGTCAAGTGCCTCGGAGTTTTAAAGCACCAAAATCTAGGCAGACACACATATGCTGGTGAAATGTTTCACGTTATCCATCATGCTTGCTTGTCAACTCAAAGACAGTCACACAAAGGTTGCGCTTGAGTGATCACTGTATACATGAGTTGTTTGCCATTCATTTGTGTAGTTCTGATTGATACTAACGATCCGTGCACTCGCTAGGACAATGCGAATGCTGAAAATGCCCTCTCCTCGGGTGTATAAAGACAAGATTGAGTTGGTTCAACTTGTCAATGTGATTGCCAACAACCCCCGCATACATGCGCCTGTAGAATGGCCATGGATAGCTTGCGTTCTACCGCTCATGCGTCCTATGTACACTGTGTATCCGACAAGAGGCATATGGAGGAAGGCCACGATCAATTCGCAGCCCTGGTGGCACAATCGCAACTGCAAACGCGGTGGTGTGGAAAGAACGTAGAATTTTGGAGTGAGTACGCACTTTTTAGCAAAACAAAAAACATGATGTGATACTCTTCACAAAAGTAATGTTAAAATATATGCCCATTTTATAATCCGTTTTTAGTAAAGTAAGTTTTATTTTAATGTCGTGCAAGATGTCCAGTAATTCATTTACGGTCTGCTGGGCCCACGTATCGCGTCGCTTGTTGTCCATTAGCTCTGTCTGTTCGCATCGCGCCTAAATTCCGAAAGAAGCAGGCTAACTTGACATGCATGGAGACTCCTCTTTCACTATGTGTATTTGCAGTACTACAAAATATACCCTGTTTTGTTATCGGATTCATTCCAACCCCCCCTGATACCTCCTGAGTCTAATGGAGGAAAAGGCGGTGATCGCAAGCGATTCCGTCGACATGGGTTGACAGAGGCTGCTGTCAATTTGAGTGTCTTCGACCAGGAAGCCAATTGCGCACGGGGAACAGGCGGGAATAATAATGCGATGCGAAGGAGGGGTGGGGTAGCACGAGTTCGTTGTGCTCCAAACTGACCAAAAGTAGCATGAAAACGAATGTGTTTTCTCCGCAACAAAAGGACGGGTTACTTCCATGATAGCCATTCCACGCCTCAGGATTAAGAGGATAACAGAAACAAACAGGGGATGTGTTAAAATAGACCTAACCTACACACATTCAACATGCATATCATCGGCGTGAAATGCGCGGAAAGATTCGTCTCAGATGTATGCAGGGCAGTGGCCAGGCCATAGCTCGTTCTAGTTCAGTTCAGTTAAATAACCAAGAGCCTGGCACAGAAGTGTGGTAGGTCCAGTTGCTAGGACTCACGTAACCAGAATAACAATAAAAAAGGAGAAGAAGTAGAGGTTGAATGTGGAGAAAATGGAACCAAGAAGGAGGTAGGTTAAACTAAGCAAGATCGAATGAAGATTAACAGCTAGATGCAAGAAACCGAATGCAGGCATGCCAATGACTGCGTCATACGGGGTCTCTAACCAAAGGAATGGATCATCCCGACATCAAGATCCACGAGGACCATATGCACTAACACGAATAAACCTCTCGACCAGTTCCTTTACACCATTATGTGCCACATCATGGACGACTGGCCACCTCGAGGTTTCGCCAAACTTAGTTCGGCCACGGCGCAAAATGTACGCCGTGGAAATCCACAGACGGGTATAAGAAAGACATGACCAGGCCAACGCAAGCGGTCATCCTCATCATCATCAACAACACATCAGCCATTTGTACTGATGCTTCGTTGCCGTAGAGCCATGATGACCTATGAAATAAAGAATAATCGGAGAGAAGGGGAACCTAGCGTAAAACTTTAATGCATTAGACAAACATTCAGGGTCAAGGCGCCTACACCTTGTGTCAACAAAACACGGTCACAAACAGCTGGTTATCGTCGAAAGAAATGGCGGCATCATCGAGGCAGCTTCCACTGCCCCACGTCATAATCATCCATTACCCGCATATAACTCAGCACCAAAAACATCTTAAACAGGCATTCTGACGACAGCAGTTACGCTACTGGTGTCGACTGCCAGCGAAGTCCTGTAAAGTCTCGAGCCAAGAAGGCGGGTCACGTGTACGAGGGCAAGACGGGCCAACAGTAGCTAGTTTTGTACTCTTTGACTTCAGTTCCCGCTGCTAAGTTAACTTTTGCCCACCTCAGGCCTTGCGCCACCCTGTGACTGGCAAACAAAACAAGCGGTGACCGGGCGTCCGTAGTCAAGATAAAGAAACTTATTCAATGCTATATATTGTAGTAAGGGACTAGCATGATTATCGCCCTCTAACACTCGCCTACACTCATGTTAGTGCCATCTGACGCTAGCGACCCTTCGCAGACAGCGATGGTCAAGGACCTGAAGGCTCCTCAGGTCCTCAGACCGAAGGGGGCGAGTCTCACTTCTATAGAGTAGGACGGGCCTCACTGTGGCCTTGTAAACACGGCCTTACAAACGGAGGGAAATCCATTTCTGTCGCCAGAAATGTTGCGGATTCAAAAAAGCAGTCTTGGCTTTTGCACTACGTGATCTGACTTCAGTTGCTGTGAGTCCATAATTGCTGATGCAGTTACCAAGGTGAATGAATCGATCAACCACCTGGAGTTCCTCGTTATCAAGTGGCTGGTGGTCCTGCGGCAGCAGTTTGTACTTTGAAGTGCGAAGCGCATATCAAATACTGTGACCACTCTAGAGAGGCTATTCAGGATTGATCGGGTCGCCAGAACATCGTTAAACAGCAAGACAATATCGTCCGCATAATAAAGATCGACCATATTTTGATCAGGCAGCACCTCCCCGCTGTATCTTAAAATTCCGTAAGCGAACACTACATGAGAGAGTCCACGATGAAGTTGAACGAAAAGGGAATTGGACAACCCTGACGAACGTCACTTGTTGTCAGGAAGACATCCGATAGCTCATCGCAGACCCTGACGTGGCCTGTGTTGTTAGAGTGAAGGCATGTAAAATGTTCACATAATTCATGGGAACACCTTTCCGCACGAGTATTCTGAGTCGAACACGCTCGTGAAGTCGAGGTACACAGATACTGTCGGCCTGCGGTATGCGTGTCACTACGCAAGCATCTGCCGCGAAGTGAATATGTAGTCTATACAGCCTCGTCCTTGGTGAAAACCTGTCCGCTATTCCCTAGTCCGGGATTCTCGTTCAGCATTGAGGTGACAAAGGAAAATTGAGGCCTGTAACTTTGTCACAACTGGTGTTAGGCTAATACCCATGTGGTTAGAACAGCCGGTGCAACTAGCTATCTTGCATATTGCCACTATAATCGATCCGCTCCGAGTTAGCTGGGATGTCCCTTCCTTCCATACATGTTCAGAAAGGGAGGTCAGTGCTTTGCAGAGGACCTCATTCCCATGCTTAAAAAGAGCAGGTGGGCGGGAATCCGTGTCAGCAGCTAGGAAACGACTAAAGGCTGTAATTCCATTTCGGACCTCAGCCTCAGTTAACTCAACAACCAGTGAGACTCATTGATCCTCGTTTCGGACACGCAACACACGTCAATACCCAGGCTGCGTGCGAGTGCAGCCTGTTGACCTATTTAGCTCAGAGCGTGAATGTTGAAGGACGACGTGGATACGGAACGACGTGGCCTGTTGCCGATAAGCGTCCAGTGGGTAGTGCGGCGAGATAGCTGCGGTGGCATTGCAATTGCTGTTATTGAAGCTGGGAATGATAAAACGAAGGTTATTAGTGGGGTTCTGGAGGGGAGTAAGAAAAACATTTGGAAAGGAAAGAAGGGAGAGGCCAGAAGTAGCATGTTTCCGCTTACCCGCTCTGTTGTATGCAGTAGATAAGGCGACCCTTGCTAGTCTGCGCAACAGCCGATGTAGGATGTGGTTGAAGTTTGGGGAATTAGTCATGGGTGTACGTGGGCCAAGATACGGATAGGAAGCCCAGATCCAGACAGGAGGACGATTTGGGTCACAGACGAAAGCCTTTGGCTTAAAAGCCAGTCCACAAGGCAGATGGGAAGTGGCAAAAACTTGGTTTTACAGAAATGGAAGCCATCCCATTTCTAACCTCCAATCTAGAGGATGAGGAAAACTGTGTTCGTCAGATGTCTAATCAGTGACCAACCTGGTAGGAGTAGCTCTCAACGGGCTCGGTGTTCCCATGAGCTGTGAGCAATACGCCGTAAGCATCGGTGACGAAACTCGGTCAAGTCATTCGTGTTCTCCCTGCGAACTGGCCTGGTCCCTCATCCATACGGTAACACCAGTCTTATCACAGCGTTGTACTCTTTCTTTCACGAACAGTCTGATATCTCGTCGTCCTCATAGATGGTTGCGCCTCTGGAAAGCCACACGGTTCTTGGTGATACGTCAGTGATGTGACTACAGAGGGGACACAGCTACCAAGGTAAGTGAACTGATCCATCACTTCCAGTGGCTGTTCGGTGATAGCCGGGATGGGTAGCGTATCGGTCTAGTCCTGCAGCAGTACGTTGTACTTTGAAGGTGTAAAGCATATGCCGAAGCGTGCAGCACTATGCTTCAGTAATGTTTGCATAGTTGCTGCGTTAGACCCTAGGAGAGCTGTATCGTCCGCATAGCCTGCTCCACTGCGGATGGAATTATTCTTTGGAATGTGGATCGTGAGCAAAGACAGTCTGCACAACGGATCGACCAACAAGAATGGAACAGTAGTCAAGCAACAAGTTAGAAGACTGAAAACAAGATGTATCTGATAGCAGTGGAGTATTCCATAAAAGTCGGCATAAAAGTATCCGTGGCAAGCAGAAAAACATAATAAAGAATAGAAAACTGGGTAGATGTATAGAAGAACAGCATTGTTAAAATTTGACGAGGAACTAACCTACCTCGGGCTAAAGCGTGCTCTATGTGTTCAACGTACAACTTTCAGGCGCTTATTTGGTTATGCTAACGGTAATATAGTCGTGATGTATTTGTGCAATTTGCTCCAAACTTTGGAAAGGCATACATAAGTCGAGCACAAATGTAACGTATTGTTAGTCATGGTGAGGCAAATAAATTCCGTAAAAAACACCAAATTTCGTTCACAACCTCAGTAGTGCTGATCAATCGTCTCCTTGCTTGAAATCCATGCAACTGCAAGCCGATTATTCAAATAAAGTTTGCCTGAAGCGATACGGCAAAGAAAATGCCTCATCAGTCCCGGGGCTGAGGCAACGAAAGTAAGGAATTTCGTACGACTGGCTAATGTGTACCACACAAATGGGCCAAATTACATATATGGTGACTTAGTTGCAAGACTGACGGGAGCTGCAAGTGAAACAGATGATTTTGGTGAAAAGCCACGTTAACCATATATATGTTAAGAAAAACGAAAATCACAAATATTTGTACCGAAGAAACAAGACAAATGTTAAAAGTAAATAGGGTGAGCTTTTCAATGCGGAGTTCTGGGGTATCTGCTGTGTGTTGGCATTGCGACAACAAAATCCTAAATGGGGCGACGGCTGAATTTGAAGCAGAATCCATTTAGCACAAAGAAAGCGAAGAAATGTGAGGCGCGTGACTTTAAACATGCCATAGGGATGGGATAAAACAGAACTAGATTTTTTTTCGATGAGATATGAGTAAGCCCCTATGGAATCAGCGCAGCCTAACGCAACTTGTTCAACACCACCTAGCACTCCAAGAAAGCAGACTGAAAACCACGGCCTAGCATGCACATGCGCTACTCATCATTGTGTATCACCTGATGTCAGCCATGGTGTGAAGACAATAATGGTCAAATATCTGAAGACAACGGAGATTCTGTGGCAGAAGGGTAGTGAGACCGCCAGGTACACTGCATCAGGGATTGTACAACAATCCCTTCCGGTGCTGAAGACATCGCAGTTTCAGAAACGCAGCTCTAGCTTCTGCAACACATAAACAGATTACAGCAGTCACGTGCAAATAATTGCTAATACAACTGTCCATCTAAGTGGATTTATCAATTGGTTGACGTTATCGCCATCGGGAAGCAAAGTGATGAGTGATCTAGAAACAGTACATTGCAATATAAAGGCCCAAAGATCATCTTTGCGTGGAAGGGTCAGAAAAAAGCAGACAGTCGCCAACTACATGTCGATCCAATCTTCAAAAAGACCAAGTCATTGAACGTAATTGGCTACTATGGACTGGAATACAACAGTCCCACGTCTACCCAATGGGGACTGAGCCGTGGAGGTGAATCGGTCGTCTGTATGCGGGCAGATGATCTAGGGCAGACAATCAAACTTAGTGATCGTTAATGGAACCGCTGTTGTACGTTTCCTCTAGTGATTCGGATTTGGACTACTGGTCTAGCATTCAGTAACAACCACTGCAAGGATTGGATGATAATTTGACGCCAAGCTTGGGGCAAATGTTTTGACTTAGAGCTTGGACATGGTAGAGGCACAACATACGGTTCCCCGATTGCTGGAAACCAGTGCACCAAACTCCAAAATAGGCTAATATTTGGAATGCACGTTATAACCGTCAAAAGTTGGGAGGCTGGTGTAACACTGAGAATGACATTTCAAAGGTGTGCTATACAGCAATGTTTTGGAGGTTGTTCCCATATAGTCGAACCGCTGTTCCTATAAATCACTCGTGTAATCCAACGACCAATATACAGGAAAGAGAGTGACTAAAGACGAGATTGTGGCAGAAGCCGTTCGGAATCACCGGTTACCTCATTTTGAACAGTGATCTATAAAAAACGGAGTCGATCGCACCTGTCAGAAGTCAAATGCGATAGAAATTTTGACGGAACAGGTGCCGTTCGTAAGCAAAGTAAAAAGTTGTCGATATTTGCCGTGGGCACAGCGATGCGAGCAAGTCCGAATAGACATATGCGAAAACCAGTACAGCCGGAGAGAGTAGCTTGTTCTCATATCACCCTCCAGATGAGCGCATACATGGGTGAATGCGGCATGGCATCCGCAGTGATTGACTAACAACTGAGAATTAAGTGATCATACAGATCTAAGTAGGATTGGCGCTGCGTTATCCGAAGCGGGCTGACAGTGAAAGAACCGTTCCACGAAGGGGAACATGGAAAGCCAAAATGACAACCACTTAAATGAAGAGTCTACGGGTTGAACTTTAGAAAGTGCTCATTTAAGGATCACTCCAAAAAGTCGTCCAGAGTATGCTAACTGCATGTGTTAGTATGCCAGCCATAGGACAGAAGCCAGTAGTTTGGCTAATGGTGTGCGCGTGTGTGAGGGCGAGGAGCTATTCTGACCCCCAGAAGCAAACAGGTGCGCAGATTCGCGTGCGAGGAGGCATGAGTGTTTGACGAAAGTGTAGGACGTATCATTGTGTCTATTTTGCCCGCATCAACGCCATCATGCACGCTGTTGGAAGCAGCTAATGAAGAAAGGCGATCAACAGAAACGGGGCATCATTATGCACACTGAATAAAGTGCTAAAAGCTGGCTACTCAAAACTACTAAAGCGTTCGCAAGTGACGTTTACAAATGACGAGAAAATCATTCAGTCCAGTTGTGTTCATCGAAGCTGATCTGTTTCATTGCACTCCTCACATCGTAGGCGAAGCAAGAAATCACATAACAGGCTCAAACGGTGAGAAGTGGTAAGGATAATGATTTAGGTGTGTACAAGGGCAGTTAATGATAAAGCCAGCAGTGGAGAGTAACTTTGAAGATAGGCGAGTTCGATAGGTTAAGTGCTGGTGAAAAATGTGCGTTGCGAGTGAATACAGGAGTCACATAATGCTAATGGGTTGGAGAGTCGCAGTGACCGTAAAGGCGAAGCGAACGAACCCGAAGGCTGGTCCCCTTAAGATGGATACCAAAGCAAAACGAACACGGGCTTGGATCGTGTGCCGCCACGAGGAACGCGTAGGGTGATGAGAGCGCGAGGACAATCGGGGCCGCACCAAACTGTAGTTTTCACATTCGGGTACAGAAAGAAACAAATTGGTCAAAAAGCGATCGATCCGAGGGGCAACTCACTCGCGGAAACTAGAGTTCCCGTCCGTCGGAAGTTGAGCCAATAAATGTCGTTTACGCGAAAGAAGCAAAAGAGTATGGTAAGGTCTGATTTTATCCATCGCTCTCCATACGGCGGAAGGTGATATTGCGGAGAAGGAAAAAGTCGGCTCAGAGACCAAGCAATATGCCCTATGAGGCAATGAAAAGTAGATTGGAAGGATGTGGTTGATCTGAAAACAGAGGAAGGAGAAACAAGAGCAGTTCGATCACACGAAATAAGGTAGAATGTTACTGAAGGACACACAAAGGTGAAGATGGGGTCGAAATTCTGTAGAGACTTAAAGGTAAACCGAAGTCGTGAAATAGAATACCCGACAAAAGTAGGAAGTTATGGTGAGATGCGTATGGTGTGGAGCGGAATTCCTGTTTTGAGTGCGAAGCTTATGTGACGTTCAGTACAGCTTGAAATTCAACGAGCTAATCAGAGGGCATGCACTTGAAAAATAGCTGTATCGGATTTACGCATTAGTCGTAACCAGCGATATGCACATCACATTATGTCCTAGACTTACGCTGCTACGATCGGTCTCGAGTAAGCCAATGTGCGCGAGAACGGAACAAATTTGTTGCTCGTGTGCAGTATCAGATGTAGGACAACAGAACGCGATATATTTGGTTTGGTCTAATCCTTTGGTAGATGTTCAGGCAAACACCAGATAAATGGTGCGTGATTATAACGCGGACAATCATGATGTGATCCTCTGCGAAGGCAGGACAAGTGACGGGCTTCGAGCATAATCTTACACACTACAGTTACCAATAACGCACAACCAATTGTGACGAAATGTCATTAGTGTGCTTTGCGACCGGCTTTGCGCTTTGTTCGTTACTGCCCCATGATCCAAATTCCATTAATCGGATACTGTTTGATGTTCGCTGCCACACAAACCAACTGCATTTCACCGCGCCCCTTTGGTCAGCCGTCTGCTTATGGTACAACTCGTATGCGATCGTGCCGATGTTCCACTGACCTTTCATACACCTGATCTTTCTGAAATTCCAGCAACCACCACACACATGGGCAGAAGACCCAGTGATAAGCAGACCACATGATTTTCTGACTCTGTTCAGTCATATTTTAGATGCTTGCGAAAGGCCAGAACATGAACGTAGTGGGCCAGCTGATATCAGCTCCTTCGTCGTTGTTTTGCTCGGTAACCTTTGCATTCTGCCACAGCGCATGGATCCGTGATGGTCCCACTGTATAGATAATATAACAGAGTACTGCTCCCGAAGAGCCGTGGCCCAGATGAAACAATCACTTTCTCGTTATCGAGCGTTTAATTTGTCCCTGCAAGAAATGCATGTATTAGTTGTGTTCCTAAGCAGAAACATAGAAACTGCCCCACAGAAGGTAGTGGGAAGCTTGAGTGAGGCAAATGCAATCCACTGAGCAGTTATCGCACGCTAATGTTCCACGATTCTTGCGTACTGACCATCCAGCTAGTTATGTACTTGCTCTCCGAGTTCCTATTCCCATCAAGGTTCTATGGGATTTTATGTGATGTGTGCGTGTCACTGCTAGTTCAGTCTGCTACCTGCCAACAGTGCACACATTCTGAACCCTAGAAACGATCGATTGACATAAAAACAGCATCCAATTGCATGTGTCCGCACTGAGTGAGTCACTTTTCCGAATACGACTTCGTGCGCCAGTGCCCTCGTTCAGATTGTCTAACGTGGGCCATACAGGTTATAGCAGTGGTTCTCACCCACAAAGCAAGTTCACTTATAAACAACTACCCAAAAAATTTTTAGTTTAAAAAGCTAATTACCTTTTGCCTTAAATTACGGAAAATGAATACTGTTTTTAATTACTTTGTAGTACTCACCTATTTTTGAGCAATTTTTATTAATTTAAGAGGTGATGTACGTTAACGAGACGGTTAATATTGCTTAATTCAAAATTGCTAATATATTTGGTGCGCTTTCGGCTAATGCACATCGTAATTCGTGCTCCAAGTTCATTCGGTTCCTTGCTTTGGTGTGTGAGCCCTGATCAAACATGAAGGTCAGTGGGTTCTCATTTCTTTCAAACATCCCTTCCAAGTCTGTCCTGGGGGACAACTTCCCATTACCACTCTGTATCGATACGTCCTGAACACTAATCGCCTGGTTTGTCCCTTCAAACTTGCCAATATTCGCTCGTTTCTTTACCTGGTCGGTTAACCTATACTCCCACGATATTGTTTACTCAACTTTGTAATTGGACCCGGGGAACGATTGCCTGACACAGTAAAACAACAATCAAGAAGCGAGCCGACAGAGGAGCCATTTAGTTCCGCTACTTTGTAGGTTTGTATACGTATTTAGGTAATAAAATTCGTTACCGAAAACCGTCTAATTCACTGACCACTCACTAATGATTAGTCACTTATGGCCAATCCCTTATGATTAGGAAGTTAGTTACATGTTTTGATACAGATGATTTTGTTATTAATTTTGTTTGGCGACAGATTGATGACCCAATCATCGTAGTTATATTTACGCCCCCGGTAAAATTCCATTTTACCCCTTGGAATTACTTACACCCAGTTTGAGAACCACTTGGTTAGAAGGACAGAGTTGTAGATAGGCCTAGTGCACTTACCCGACGTTTTATCCATCCTCGCATAATTTCGCGTTGCTACAAAACACTTAAGATTCAGGGTGTATGTTGCTGAGCACTGACAGAGAAACTTCATACGAGAGATCCGAGGTTCGGATAAGTAGCAATTGACTGACAGTATCACCACCAAGTGATGGAATACTCACCATCACATTGACATGACCCGTGGAACAAACTGAATTCAGTATCGTCTTTAGAACGGAGCACAAAGGCGAAGCAGTGGCCAATTGTTCGTGTATCTGTTCTTCGCCGTCGTCGACATCGGTGGCAGACGTCGTCGTCACATTCGGTTCAGCGTCAGAACACTGTTGCAACAAGGTGATCGAAGCACATTTGGACGTTGGTTTCAGGCCAACCGGTCCACGGGGAAGCAGTAAGTTGCTTGTGGGCGGAACCCCTAGCTGTGAAGACCATCGGAAAGAACGACGAAAATTGCTAGACTCTCGGACAGTAGGGCGATAATTTTCAGCATGGTTCAAGCGAAAAGATGCTCGCTCAATCACGGAGACGATTAAATCACGCTGCTGGCTGAGATAGTCTGAAATAAGCTCTGCCCGACGAATTTGCGCACCCGTCTGTGAAACGAAATCGCAAAAGAAGAAAGTGGATACAATTGCAAAGAATATCCAAAACCACACATTGCAAAGGTGTTTTACTAGTCACAGTGGTGTTTGGCCAAGTATTGAGGAAAGATACTCGGAAAAACATACTCATAGTAGAAGAGATAGGACACGAAGACAAGTAAACAGTGATTCATTAATGCAGGTTGGATTTGCCAGAGGGAAAGCCAATGTCTCCCGCGTGTCCCAGGTCGATATAAGTGTCAAAGTAGATCACAAGCTTGTATATGGGACCCAAGAACTGTCTTTAGGAAAAAAGGACGAAAGTAGGCGGCGAGCAATGAGTACTCGTGGCGCATGAGATAACAAAACAGTTCGATCTGTGAGTAATTTATGAAACTTATCGGTGAACGGATGTATTTGTGTACAACTGTACACTCGGAATTTGGTAGTCCTCCAATTTCCTTTTCGAAACAGGTAGAATATCAAATAGTGTTTGAAAGAAGAGGCATTGGGAACTTATGCAATAAAGTCATACGGTCCTTGGTGAAATTGAGCGCTCTAAAATCATCACCTATCCCATCTTTGAATGTGTGGCAGGAAAACTCACGAAGGTATTTCACCAAAAGTCTGTCTGACAAATCTTGAAGTTTGAACTGTCAAGACCGCTATCAGCATCTCCACCATGAAAATCTTTGGTTATACGAACCAGATACACTAGAGGAATCATCAAAACGGCAGCACAATATCACTTGAAAAATTAACGACAAAAGCTACACACTAATTAGCCCAGTAATAAGGACAGCTATTCACTCCAATTTCTTTTTCATCAGATACACAGCCCCATAAGATAGCTTACCAGCGACACCAATGTCCTTTTTGAGTGTAACACTCCGCATTATGCTTGAAGGTTCCCTAGACCTAAGCTCAATAATGGTTATGCTGTTATATAGAAAAGCGCCCAACGGATTCTTCCGCAGGAGTGGGGTAAGGTATATACAATGGGACCATGAACTAGTTACACAAAGAAAAAAACGCAGCACCAGAAGAAACCACATATCCCTCAAATTATCGGCAATGTGAGTACACGAACACGACCGAATGCTTGCCTCACTCATGAAACAGAGCATCATCATCATCATCATTATCAACAGCCGTTTGAACTGATTCTTTCACTGCCGTGCAACCATCGTGATCTACGAAACGAAGAACAATAACAGGGAGAGAAGAGGGGCCCGGAGTAATACATTAATGCCCTAAACATCCAATCAGGGTCAATGCGCCGACAGCTTGTGTTAACAACATACCACCACAAACAGCTGGCTATCGCACAAGGGCGGCATCAGCGAGACAGCTTCGCTGCGGCTTTCACTGTCCTACATCACAATCAGTCATTACTCCGCAGATAACTCATCAACAAACACGCTCTAAACAGGCAGTAGACGCGCCACTGGTGTCGACTGCGAGCCGTTCTGTAAAGCCTCGAGCCAAACACAAGGCGGGTCAAGTAGACACCAACCTGGAAGGTGAGACGGAACGATGGCATCCAGTGTGGTTGATGGTGCCTTCATTTCCCGCTGCCAAGTTAACTTTTTCTCACCTCGAGCCTTGCGCAACTCAACATCTAGCAAACAAGACAATGCCTTACTCGGTAAGCGGTGACCAGGCATAGGTAGTAGGTGCCCAAGTCAACGCAATTTATTCAGTGCTAACTGTTGTTCTAAGGAACTAGCAAGACCAACACCGCCTGAGGCTCGCCTACGCACATAATCGTTGCGGACACGCTGGCGCCAGCCGACACCAGCAATGTCTCGCAGACATAGATGATCAAAGTGTTGAAGGCACCGCAGGTCCTCGGATCGAAGGGGCGAAGTTTCATTCCCATAGATTAGGACGGTCCTCACTGTGGCTTTGTATCCAGGGCTCTTAAGCCCCATATGCTGCAGATTCAAAAAGCAGTTTTAGCTTTGGCAGTGCGTGAATCGACGTCAGTGGTTATGCGACCATCGTTGCCGATACAGCTGCCAACGTAGGTGAATTGATCAACTACCTAGAGTTCCTAGGCCTTAAGGGGTCATCGAATGGTTGGTGGTCCTGTAAAAACACTTTGCACTTTGAAAGCGTGAAGTGCATGATATATGATGGGACCACTCTAGTGAGACTGTTCAGGATTGATTGAGCCGCTTCAACATGAAAGTGAATGACCATAACGATTTATCCTCATGGGGAGAGTAGTCACTGGGACATCCAAGAAATATACGCATACACAGCAGTATACGAGTTTAAAAATGACCTATGATAACAGCAGTAATAAGGGACCGCTAATGCGAAAAGGGGAAAGCAAGCGAGGAATACCGAGGGGTTAGTGAGCCGTGACAAGATCTTGGACTCAGGAAAAGGAGCACCAGTTACCCTACTACTTGGATTTAGTGTCAAGAAGTGAATGATCGCCAGTGCTTGTGCACGTCCAAGTACATTAGTGATGGGCTAAAAAACCCCACATGCACATCACTCGGACGAGTTGGTTGACGTGTTGCTCCTCCCAACACTGACACCCCATAACTGGTTTCGTCCTCCTTTGGACTCATCAGATGGAGATAGTCTGAGCTGAGATGGAACTCGGGAGCTAGTGGTTAACGGCTGACGCCCTGAACATTGTGCCTTTAAGATCCGTGAGCAACGCTTAGCACAGCGGTAGGGAATTCAAGTTGGATTTAGAGTACCCGCAGTGTGGTTGGATTGTGACATGCAATCTCTATTCAGATCTCGGTTCAGTTTGAAGTATACTTCGGTCATTCCGATCACAAGGACTGTATTGTAGGTGGATAAAACAAACAGTAGAGACTTAGCGTGAGGTTGTCGTTTTTTAAACTTTAAACCAATTGATCGTGGAAGCCGATAAAAGGTGAAAAAGCGAGCGATTCACGAATAACCGGGTGGAAAACTAATGATTTGCGCTATAACGCACCAATAAGGCCAACTCCGTATAGTGGGATAACACCGATGGTGGGGCGGACGCGTCCATCATAAACACGACAGAGAAGCTTATCATTGAACGGTTGGACAAAGGATCGGGTGTTGTTTGGAATGAATGATCTGGTAATTCAACAGCCTCCTCTGAAGTTGGAGCGATATTAAACGCTACTCCGACGAACACTCGACGACCGAGCTGATGAGAGAGGGAGAGAAGAACAAAGTCACAAAACAGTACCGGACGAATCATCGCCTAAAGTGGACGGATATTCGATCAGAAACAGAGGAAAAATAGCAAGCATTTCAACGGAAAGTCACCAAAAGCGCGATGAATTCCAGGGAAAAAGGTATATAGAAGTAATATCGAGGCATCTGTAAACAGAATGCGTGAAACACGAAATGATGCGGGAAACCGATTAGACAATTGCCTCGATAAGGTTCCAAGTAACGGTAGATGTTTTCGTAATAGAGGTCTGCAGCTTTACAGACATCGGTACAGATAAACACCCAGTGACGCAACCTGAAGGATTAAATACGCGACCCGGCCCGTGGCCGAAAGGACAAAGCGTCTGTCTTGAAACACGGAAGTCGCGGGTTCGAAACTGCTTAAGGGACCGAACGACCCTCGCAGTATCCTTAGTTCACTTGCGGTCGGTGATGGTTACGTGGCAGCGAAGCGCCGGTACGATGTAACGGCGTACTGCTGCGGCATCAACGAAAAGTAGCCCGTAGGTCACAGGGGCAAGATAAAGAAGGTAGCTCCAATTTTTAAAAGCGGATCTTTAGTGGGTAATTAAGGGGAATCACAGTAGTTCCTTTAGCAGCGTAAGGTGTTCATCATTCATAAATCAGACAAAAATTAAGAAATATAGGGTATAGTAACAAAGCAATTGTTTGCGATCAATTCCTCCTCAGCCTAAGTAAGTTAATATACGCTAAAAAGAAGCAAGTTGCGTGGTTCACGTACACACTATTCATATCCTATCATAGGCTTTTGTTGCGGGAGGTATGCGTAGTAATAAGGAATTCCAAGGTGGCTAATTGACAACCAGCCGGGGGAAGCATGGACAGGACAACTGGATGCCTCAATGGTATGCATGAATACGGTCATTCAAAGAGATCAACTACACAAAGAGCTGGGAGATCCCATCTGCTATAGAGATGGCATTTTTTTGATCTAGCGTGGTATCCTTCACCGAGTGCTGCTTGACTCTGCGTTTTCTACCCATCTTCATTCTTTCCGGCACCATCGTTTGTCAACTCGTCAATTTCCTTGCTTCAGACGCAACATGATGATGTTCGCCGTACATCAGCCACGCGACTGTACCGGAGCAAAATGTCCACAAGGAAATAGAAGCACCAGGAAAGCACCGCTACCAGGTAGTTGGTGGACGGTTACTGTCCTACACCCTAGTCAACTACCAGCATATCTTCTGACCTGTTAATTGTAGGGTTCCAAATTGGACTGTCATTCCATTCGGTCCATTTTAAAGGCGGTCAAGATCCGCAATTACATTGACATGTCATCCCAGCAGTCGGATGTTGCACAGGTAGTTTTAGCTTCAGAACAAAGGTGCATTCATATGAGGTTGCGTTACAACAACGCGGTATTAATAGCAGACTTCAACATGGAATATAGCAAAAACCGATTCAGAAATCCGGTTTCGAGTCGAACAATGAGGCAGTAGGCGGCCACCATATGACTCGAATGGTGAAGACAGGGTAGAGAAAGAATAGAGCGATGATATAACATATCACTCGATAGCGTGATAGCCATACACACTTAGTCTTCTAGCGATAGCATGAGCAATTTCGTACATATGTGGTACAAACTTTCTATCCAAGCCCCCTTTCGCGCACCAAACAACCGGCACCATCTTCGGAATATCGAATACTGAGAATAGAGAGGGAGAAGACACGAACCTTTGTTGCTCCATCGTAGATGGATCCGGCACACGCGCAAAATCACGTCGCGGATTCCTGCGCCGTAGCAGCATATTGCAGCTGCACTACATCTTATCCCGCTGCGATACGCTCCCTATACCTGTGGTCCTTAAAGTGGGCGTCAAGGAATCGCTTAAATTAAAACACCGATTTAACATCGACTAATGTCTCCGGCAACTTGTTCCAAATATTGCAACATTCGACGCTCAAAGCATAGAGGATGAGCGATACGCTTCAAATCCGGCACCACTAGTTTGTACCGGTATCCGCGTGTGCTGCTTGGTGCGCGAACGTGCAGCAGCAGCGGTCCCAACATAAGGAAGTGGAACATGTGCAATATGTGGTGCGTCACTATGAGATCAACTCGAAGCCGACGATATGACAGGGTATAAAGCCCTAGTCTCCTACATCGGTCCTCGTATGACATATCCCGTAAACTGGGGATGAGCCGGGTACCTACATGCTAGACCCGTTCCAGTCTATGCACCTCACCAATTCTGATCGGAAAATAGGCGGGTGACCCGCACGCATGCACCGGTCTTACCATGGAAGAGAAACGTCGGGTGGCAATCTCTTCCGACCAAGTGCAGAAGCTGCGTCTAAGCGCCCAACACAGGCGCAGTCCATTTACGTACAGTCTGTTCATGTTATCGACAGACTTCAGATCACAGCGTGAGAGTACGCCTAGATCATTTACGGAACTGGTGGGATGCAGTGGGTTGCCGGCCAGGGTGTACGCACGCTCATTACCACCCCTCCCCAGGCTCATAAACGAGGAGTTGGCCGGGTTGACCGGTAGGTCAACTTCTGCAGACCACAGCGATAAGAGGTCGAGATTCTGTTGAAGAATGTCACAGTCATCGGGAAATCAATAACCCTGCATATCTTCAAGTCTTCTACAAACAGTACACAAAGCGACCGAATAAATCGAGGCGCTTCGTTTATGTGGATCAGGAATAAAATGGGCCCCAGCACTGTGCCTTGGCTAGTGGATAGGTATCAGTCCGTTAGGTGGGCATCCACCTGTACCTGCCATCTTCGCCCAATCAGAAAGTCACTGACCCACTGGTGCAGTGCGCCATCAACACCACACATCCACAGCTTGTGGAGCAGGAACTCATGGTTCATTTAATCCCAGGCTTCACTGAAATCAATGTAGATAACATCCACTGACTTTCCCCGGTTAAACGTTCACAACCATTCATACCACGTCAACAGCAGTTTGGCGATTCACGAATGGCCCTACATGAAGCCGCTGTGCCGGCGTTAGGAGATCTTTCGACTCCAGCAGCTGGAGGAAACCCTTTATCACAATCTTCTCGAGCACCTTCGTCAAAACAGACGTGAGATAAATCGATCGGTAATAGTCCACATTGCGTGGGTCACAGTCTTTTGGAATCGCCTTCCAGTCGCTCGGCAATGTACCCTCGAACAGCGATCTGTTGAACCGATCCGTCACAGCAGGCGAGATGATGGCCAATGAAGACTTTAAAATTAGCGGGTGAATTTCATCGGATCTGGCAGGTTTCGTGTCGTCAAGACTGGTCAATAGGCTGCGGACATCTTCTCCACCACAATCCAGGCCCTGGAATTCAGCAGGGGCTGCACACGTGGAGCTCTGCATAGGCGCATGCCCATTTGTAAATACGGAAGCGAAGTGATCCGCCAATGCAGATGCGCGTTCAGTGCCAGAGGCCAGAGGATGTCCGTTAGTGTCTTCTAACACAGGTAAGTCACTTGTGGGCCTCAGGCACCGCATCACGTAAGCAAAAATCTTCTTGGTGTCCGACTTCGCTGAATTCGCAGGCTCCTCTTCGAACTACCGACGCTTTCGCGCTGTTGCATAGATGCCGCTGCCTGTTGTACGCTTCATAATCGTCAGCAGTCAGATACGAGGAATTTGTTTCACAATACGCGTCGCCGTGGAGCTAGTTGGTCCTACTCTCTGTCGAACCAATGTGGCTTCACTGGTCCAGCTTTCTGATACTTGAGGTGTACGAAACGAGCGCGTAACGATTGCATACCCACGTTTATAACAGAGCAACAGATGAATCATGCGACAACGACCAGTCCACTTCACTGGTGGCTCGATTGAGAACATCGAAGTCGGGCTTCCAATAATTGTAGGACAGCTCCGACGAACGCGAGTAGGGCAGCGGCAACTTTAAGCTGGTTGACACCATCGAGTGGTCACTAGCTGCCATAGGCTCCGGGACCTGAATTTTATATACACGCTGCTCGCAACTAGTTAATATTAGGTCCAAGCACGATGGAGCGGAATGCGGTGTAACGCATGTTGGTTGGCAGACATGTGTTGATCCAGTTTCAAATACCATCTCCGCAAACTGTAAATCGATTTCAGGGACCGGAAAGAAGTTGGGCATCAGGCCACAGTACTCGATGGAAGTTAAAGTCGCCCATAAGCAGGAAGCGGGGCAGACTCATGTAGTTTCTGACATGAGGCAATCAATCAAGGCATCGAGATCGCGGATTGAGATAAGCCGCATCTACAAACAGTTCGCCCTGTCTCAGGCGAATCGAGCACCATAACTGTTCGCACAGGCCATCCTCGCTGCGGTAGGCGTGTACCAGTCTCCCGCACAACGAGGAGCGAAGGTATAACAGCACGCCGCCCCGGACGTCCGGACGACGAGGTAACGAGGTGATATACATCGTCATGTTTGTTCATTAAATTTCATCAAAGCAGAAGGAAGACATAGATTGCAATATTTCAACATTTCGATTGTTCTCTTCAGTCGAATACACAATACAAGCAGAAACACATGCACACCGGTTTTGGCAGATATCTTTCTCAGCCTGATCGAAAGGCAAGTCGCTGCCAGTATTGGTGAATCAGAACTATACAAAAGGTATGTGGATGATGTTCTGGTGTTCGCCAACAGCGAACATTTTACCCGCCTGTTAACCATTTTAAATTCGATTCACACTAACTTATCAGTCTCCCACGAGGTGGAACAACACGGCTCCCTGACATTTTTGGATATCCTCTTTAAGAGGCGGGACGGAGGTACATTGCAGTGCACCGTTTACCGCAAGGCAACTTGGAGTGGGCAGTGCCTTCACCTTTTTCAGTTTCGCCCCGGTTGCATACAAACGCAACCTTGTGAAAACGCTGTTCTACAGGGCCAGACGAATTTGTAGTCCGGAAACGGTGGAAGCTGAAAAGAAGTGTCTACATAGGACATTGGTGTCGAATGGTTATGCTGAAAAGTGCATCCAAGTGCAAAGCAGACTACCCAAAAAGAAAGTTCCGGTGCTAACAGCAGAAAATAAAGCAGTTCATCTGTTTCTGTCCTTCAAGGGAGACCATGTGGCAAATGACATTGGACACAAGCTCAGGTTCGCCTAACGCGCACGTACACAACTGCCCAGTTGCGCCTCATACACACTACTCGGAAACTTGTTCTTCGTGACCGTCAGAGCTACTCTTCGGTCTCCTGTGGTTTATCAGTTCACCTGCAGTTGCAGTAACGTTTACATAGGCAGAACTAACCGTCGGTTGGCTCAGAGGGTGGCTGAACACTTGTCAAAGTGGGTGGAACAAATGATGACGCAACAAACTGGAGCGCCCACTAGAATGAACCGGATTCCGTCATCATTTACCACCAAGCACCTCGTGACAATTGGTTACAGTGTGGACCCGAAGACTGCGTTCAAAGAGCTATTACGCAACCGGAGACCGATAATGTTGGCAATCAGTGAAGCGTTGCCAATTAAGGCCTATCAACCTGTGCAGTGTGCACAGAAACTCTTGAGGCAATCAATTAGATTGCTTTGGTCTTGATTTTGAGGTTTTGATTGGTGCGTCAATATTTTCCCATGTATATATTTGTGTTTGTGTCTGCTAGTATTGTGTATGCGACTGAGGAGAACAATCGAAATGTTGACATATCGAAATCGATGTCTTCTTTCTGCTTTGATAAAGTGGCTGAAGGGGACCCAATGTATTACATCAAATTTCAAAAATTTGTGAAGGCTACGCGCAGCTCGTGGCAGGACCCGGTGGACGCGCAAGAAGCGTTATCGACCAGTTGGTTGGGGTTCAGCGGACCCGGAGAACTACCCGAAAATTTATAATGTGGAGATTGGTTTCTCCACTATCAGTCCGCCGCTTCAACTCCATGATAGCGGACTTCAGTTTCTTTCTGTCCGACGGATTCAAATCTGGACGAATATGGATGTTTAGACCTCTTAGCCTACCGACGCGCGATAGTATCACGTTCGAACTCGCTTCATAAACAAAGATGACTCGCAGAGGCCGGGACTTCCCCTCCTCTATCTTTCCAAGACGGGTGAGTTGCTTCATTCACAACCCCTGTTCATTTACATTGAGAAGCCTATGAATCAGACTCTGCATAAAATCCACGTTTTGGTCACAACGAGCCTGACGACTAGCATCTGTCGACTCAGGCGAGTGAAATATCATAAGGTTACAGCGCCGCTGATTGCTGGCAGTTGTCGTTCGTCTTTTGCTTCGCTGCATTCTCCACTGGCATTCATCACCTGCGCTATGGCACACCAGTAAGTTAGTGTCCGTAGGACGAGACATAGGCATGCCAACTGAGGTTCCAGCAACGGGTGGATGTCACTCTGGAGAGTCTGCATCCGGCGGGCAGGTGGGCCCGTTCGAATAGAGGTGGATAACTTCCTGTTTGCTTGGATGAACCCACGGAGCTCCTCCCTATGGAACGTTTTGCCCGTCTTGTAGGCTTGCGCGGCTTCTCGGCTGTTGTGACTGCACAGTGGCTTGGCATTTCTTGCACAATATTTGGACATAGTCACGGTGAATTTCATGCAGTATTTTAAAATGATCTAAAGACAAACCAATACACTAAATGTGGAAATTCACACGACACATGAGGCATGTAACAGCATTGGGTCTATGCTCAATTATTGTGCAAAAAGGGCCATAGGGAGTCTGCATCGGCAATACAGATAGCTTAGCAGATGTGACGGTGAAGGTGATAAATTGAACGATAAGTACACAATACAAATACCACAGTAAAATATTAGGGCACGGCATTAATACACAATAAAGAAATTCAGAAACATAAAATAAACTGAAGTTGGTAGGAATAAGCACGAAAAATATTCTCTGTACAAAGTAGTGAACGATGCAAACTGGCTTGTCAAACAGAGCGAGAAAAGCCGTCCGGTAAGTCTTATGTGGACAAGGTCATGATGCTTATCTGAAGAGGTGTTGGACAGTCTAGAAGTTGCGCGACGCAATCCGAAGTGTGTCACAACGAAATAGAAGAGAGTGCTGATAAAAGGCGAGTGGAGACGCTTCCACGATTGCCGTGAGCGGGATGTTTCGGCCCAATAAATTAAAACTAACCTAACTGGTAGAACATGATTATGCAATCCAAGCGGAAAGGAAGTTGTGGAACTAAGGGTGTACATCGGCTAAAAATAAATGCGACTGGAGGAATACCAGAGCGAAATGTGTCACATTTCTCGAGGATCGTTAAACGTGCGCACCTTAACGTAGATCCTGCGCCGCAATCCTTGGAACGGCTGATGCAGCAAGCCAAGGATCAGATTCGCTGGGAAGTCTGCAATGGTGGGCAGTCCATTTTCGCCAACCAAAGGGACAGGAATCATGCGGGTCTCAGGGTCAGAGGGAGCATCAGCATCCATAACGTTGGCACCGACGGTGCTGCCCGGTAGGATGTTCGTTGTGGCACTCGGCGGAGCAAGCCCGGTGGTGACATGTGTTGGTGTAATGATGCTTGGGGCGACTGCAATCGAGCCACGTTCAGCGCCGATCGCAAAAGAAGGAACACTGGATGCACTGTAAACACCCACAGAAGAGAGACCCGCCTCAGGACCATGGAATGTACGATCAGCGATAAGCTGAAGCCAAACGATAGGAAATTCAGCGCAGGCAAAAAGGTGAATAAAAAGCCCAGATATCCAGAATTGACCAAAGATAGGTTAGATACATAAAGGATAACTTAAAAATTACAGAAATTACATAACTTGAATCAGACTTGCATAAGAAGAGGAAGACAACCGAAAGGAAATACTCCTGATGATCACGAGCTTCCATCATGTGTGGATAATCGCTTCAGCCCTTAACCTCTGAAGTGTTGTGGAAAGGTATGCTACTACGGAAATAAAAAGAAAAGCCAACGTTATCGGCCCATGTCGCAAACAGCCAACGTGATTTGTACATGAGCAGATGCCAATCATCATCAGAAATTTCGTGGCGGAAGTTCAGCGACAAGTTCGAAAGCAACCGTAACGCATGAATGTGGGGCATGAATTGTCAGGGGAAGGTAATACTCATTCCTGAGAAACAATAAAAGTGCCTTTAACATATGATTTTCCATATTTTAATTCAAGCAAAGTCTAAAATATGCATTTAGTTACTAGCCGTGCAATTATAGCTTGACACGTGCGTGTGTTCGCTTTCGAAGGACTGTATCACTTACCCTCTCGTGCTGTGAAACCTAAGACGGTCAGAGAAATCGATGTGCTCTACTGAAATTCGGTTAGGCTCATAATTTCAAACGAGTTCTCATGCAGAGCACAAATGAAACGCAAATATGTGTGTAACAAAGCAACTAACGCAATGCATTACTAGTCATTATCTGGAGAATAAGATTAGTCATTTCATGGATTTAGGTTTTAAAGAACCAGCGCCCCCAGTATAATGTGACTCCACATGTAAGATAGAGAATTTAATTTCCAGGATGATGAATGCAGATTTATAGTGGAATGAAATATAAACGGCTGCAAACCGCACTTTTGATCAGAAACAAAAGCTTGTTAGGCGCGCAAATTACACCTATTTCCAGACGCTTGAGGTAAACACACACAGATACAGAGACCGTGGTAGTCAATTTTCAGCACAGCTTACTTCCTCTTGTCACTGCGCATTTGTTCGCGTGATCCGATACGTACCATTAGTGGTCCGACATAGTGTACAAAAATTGATCAATGCCTAAGCTCAGAGCCAATGATAGTTGTTCAGTTCAGTTGAACAAACGTGATTCGAACGCCAAAGTAAGGTGGATTCAGTTGCCACAACTTGTGTCACCGTGAGAAAATGAAGTGGAATACGAACAGAGTATAAAAATGGTAATTAACAGAAAAGTGCATAAAATCAATCAGGATGGAGTATTAACAGCCAGGTGCAAGAAATCGAATGCAGAGAGCGAGTGACAACGATGGATTTTACCTAAAATGACGAGTTAATACACCGCGATTACTAGTGAGCACCCGCTCACTACCGGATACTGTGCATAGAAGCGTTTCGCATGAAGAACTCATGTGTCAGACGAGCATACGTCCGTTGTTTTGTATAACCTATTACAGCGCAACTGCGTAACGCACTTTTGGCCTCGCAAGCTAACCGCCCCGGGGACGCCCAGTCAGGTTTCACTCAACATACATTTGCACAACGAGCCAGTAGACAGTTAGTCAACGATGCAGGTGATCGCTCGCATTGCTATGATAGTTGAGATCAGGTTAAAAAGCGGGCTACCATCAAAAACACTGATGATGCAACTGTGGGGCGCATTTTCCACTTATGTTCACTTCGCAAAGTGATTCGAGTGAAAATCGAGCAGCATAAACTGTGCTCACCGATGTGACTTTCCGGACCACATATCGAGTCAAGCAGACTTAACAATGGGAAATTGGGCAAATCAGTCAGAGATCGAACGCGAGCTGTTTACTCGGTTTTAAGTCATGGGTCGAAATCAGTTGGGCGGTGTGCGAGCAAGGCCGCCTGCTGCGAGAGGAAAGTGTTAGGAAGTGAGATAGGAGCCAGAAATCCGAAGTATGTGGCCACTCTCACACCCGCGGGTTGTGGACCGATGTGACGGAGGAAGTTAGGAAAGCTGCTTTGGAAAAACAGGAGTTTCGAGTGCAATCGAGTTGAGTGCATCACAACTAACCTAAGTCAAACGAACAAGCGCTAGATAGCCATTTGGTCCATTTGGGACTCGTACGCAGCGTGCGTCACCTCGTCAGTCCGGTGAGGGATTAGAAACTGTGACCCAGCGAGTTGTAAGGTAAGCGGGTTAAGACTCCAGGAACATTATTGGAAATGATGTGCTTTGGAGATTATGTAAACTAGGAGGAAAAGCTCATAAATTCCGTAGCCTCAAATGAATAGGAACAGGTCGATGGGTCGATCGGTGGTCTACTGCTGAATAGGGAAACACAGTGTGCATCTGGAAATGTGAAACAAACATGGATGAGGAAACGAGGTAAGGAACAATGGAGCTGGTGTTTGAAATATGTAAATGGACGAGTGAATTTTGCAGAATACAGAAAAACTACAAGGTGAACAGATAGGTACATTCTGTGCGATAACTTGTGCCGACAATGCTCTAGCCGAGTTCCAGGTGGTTTCCAAATGTAATTCTAAGGTAACAAGGTCCTTCTATTCAGATGCTGTCCCAGAAAGTGCACTCACATGAAAATTGCCGAGGGAGCACCACGGGATGCAGAAACAACAAAAGATGAGGGAGTACTCGTGCACAGAAAGACTGCAAGCCAGCTGAGTAAGGGGACGAAGGGGAGGAGTACTGTTGAGAAAACCTGGTTATAAAGGGGTCTTTAGCCATTTGAATGGTTCGCCGTAATTCGCCAAGCCCGTAACAAAACAAGTGCTTTGCGAGCATTGACATTCACTGGGAACTCTGGTAGCTCGGTGCACCTTCTGTTCTGAGGAGTAAAACAATGCGCCACGTCAATCGCTCGGGTTCGTAATGCACCTATCGACTCACGACCACAATTCAAACTGCGATTTAACTTGAAATGACGCTCTATCAGTCGGATTACTTGTTCCGTGGTGACAATGCATTTCAAGACTTATTCCATCTTTGCTCGGACAGCTCATGCAGAAATAGACAAAGCATGACTTGAACCTGAGACTTTCAACCACTGTCGTTACCCCTACGTCAATCAGTAGCGGCCAACGCTTGGCAAAGTGGATAGAAACTTATGGTAGGGTTTTTACCCCTAATATGTGTATAAAACGAGAAAGACAGGCTCAGGTTCGACTGCAACTCATTTTGAGGCGGACTTCAGTCAGATCGATAACTGGAATAGTATTTAAAACGGATAAATATTAAGTGTCGATTCATGCAGCAACTGTGCGCCAGCCCCGCTACTTCTATCCGAAAAGTCTGAACAAGGACGAAGCCAATTGTGAAATTAAATAAATGGTATATTCCTTAACAGCGCGAGGTACAGTCCGACTGAATGAGCTGATGAATTTGTATATTGGGAACCCATAAGAATGATGATTGTTCGTTGTTCAAGATGGTTACTAAACGAACTCTTGGGGCGATCGATAAGTCAAATGTATTAGAAGGATAGGAAGCTGGAAGAATTCATAACTATCGATGTAACCAAACGTTCGAGTGAAGTAAAAGGGCCATCTGTGAAACCGTCTCCCGGAGCCTTGCCTCCATGTAAGGTAAACCCTCGAAAAGTCATACCCGCATTTCACACCCCGGTGGCCATGTGTGTGAGAGTGTATTCAATGTAGGCAAGCCGCCACCGGTCTGACTAATCTAAAGGAATGTTATTATATACATATAATATGGACACTACAGCCATCCAGCCCATCCCACCATTCAGATCTCTCGAGTCCGATACTTTTATTGAACAACAGTGAGGCTGTAGTAATTCGCTTTGCACCGGTGTACTTACTAGCTTAGAAGCTTCAATCCGTCAACTCAGGAGATCGGACAAGTCGTGGCAAACAAAGTAAGAATTGATATAAACAGAATGAAATATATTACGGTAATAAGGTGGCTAATTGATGACATAGCAAACCAGAAACGGGAAGACTGGTCGAAGAATATAATCGTGATGGCCGAGGTCATCTTGCTAGATGAAGGTCCCTGGATAGAATATATGCATGACTATAAACATGGTAGCCTTTGTCCGTCTTCCTCTCATTTTCACGACGAGATGAGATAGGGTGCCTGTATCGTTCGCACTTTAACATCACTAGAAATTCCTATGTTATTTTAACTTAACCAAACCGGGCACCGAGTGCGTTCATGAAGAAATTGTCCTAGAATGACTTCTGCATGAATGCTGCAGTCTGAGAGCTGGGTAAATGCAACCGTTTCCAGTGTACAAATGCAAAGAGATAAAGAGCAGAAAGAAATAACGGGGTTTCCGTCCACAATAAGATCAACAAAGCTGAGAGCATGCAGCAAGTCACATGAACACCACCGGTAGTGGAAATGACAGCTGGTTGCAGGAAGAAGTGGAATGAAAGATTGGTGAGAGAAGGGGAAAGGAAACCGCGCGTGGTGAGGCAGCGCAAGCGACCGGCGTCAAGAAAAACACCACTGAAGTGGGAACAAGTTGCCTCGTAAACTGAGGCAGCAAAAGGAAGAGGTCTAGACGATGTGGCTTGGTTCGGGAGAAATATCAATGGAGCTTCAAACTTATGAAAAGCCCACCGATCTGCCGCATACTGGAAGTTCAAATGGGATTGCACTTTGGGTGGTGTCAGTCATGAAACCAGAGATGAGTATGGTGTAACAGGTTACGTGACGACAATGCAGACCGAATTAGGACTGATACACACTCCAAGGTGGGCCAGTATGACTCACATGTAAAGCGAAGGGATTCTGTCCAGTGGGATCGTTGGATGCAACATCTGCCGATTTATCATTCCCGATTGGGTTAGCACTCAAAGTTGTGCTAAAATTTGAAAGCAGACAGGCAAAAGTAAGAATAAAAATAGTTTTCAGGTGAAGGAAGCTTCATGGTCGCTCAATAAATTGGCGGGTAACAATTTGTATGAAAGGAATTCTGTACTAAACTCTGAAAAAACAAGCTAAAGTTGAAAATCGCCAGTGAGTTGACCGAATTCCATGCGGGAAGATGACAGATCATCAACATCCATCCAAAACATGAGCGATCCATGCCCGTGTAGCGTCGAGGAGGCTTAGTAATGGTAACTTCCCAATCGCTGACGGATTTGACGCTTATTCCCCGAGACAGTGATCCGATACAGCCAGGATGGCGGAAGATGTGGGGGCAGTGGGCGTATAGCTATGCTTTTTTAATCACGTAACTATGATCCCATCATCGGAGTGTGGTAGAGCCCGTTGTCACAACCCGCGTCATCAGGATAACAACAATTGACAATGGCGAGGAAAAGGAGGTAGAACACAAACAGGACACAAGGAAAAGAGGTTGGTGAGTAAAATTAATCCAGATGGAACATACACAACTGGATGCGAGAAACTGAACGCAGCAGCCCTACTGACTGCGCAATTGCACCGCTGATGTGGCCAACTCCTAAGCATTCTACCAAAAAGACAAAGCATTTCGTTTAAGTTTAAACGCCTCTGTGCCACGTCATTGACTGGCAACGTCGCGGTTCCAGTCAACTACGTGCAATGATAGCATAAAGTGCACATTGAGCAAAGGCGACGGAGGACATGACCCAGCCAATGAAAGCAGTTCAATGGTCACAGACACTCTAAAGATGCTGTATGGGGTGTATTTCCAGACACCAACTATTGAACTTCTGTATTGTTCCTCTATTGATCCCAACATGTGAGCCAGACTCAGGAAGCGGACGGGTCTCTGATCAATATCGTAGCGCCGGCTTTATCGCTGCTTTGTACATCCGATCTTCGAGTGACAGGCTAGTACCAGACCCAAAACTAATACCTACGGTCGCTGTCGATGAACAAAGCTTTAGAAAATCTCAAGGGTGTTGGTGATAAAGGTAGCTATCTTGTCAGTGATGTGGCCACCAAGGGTGACCCAACTAGCAATTCCAGTGGCTGTTCAGTGAGAGTCAAACCGGTGGCGTCAACCAAGTCCCGCAACAGTGCATCGCACGTTGGAAGTGCAAATCACATGTTACAGCGTGAAGTACTACGTGTCAGCCTACTCAGTAGTACTTGCATAGCCACTGGGCCCGACTGAAAGAGAGTCATGTCGTTTCCATGCTCCCGGTTTACTAGATGGTCAATCGGTGAAACCGACGCTCCACAATGTCAAAGAGAACAAAGTCAGGATCATCTAGATTACAAATTCGAAGGGGATTTAGGGTAAACGTGGTGCATTTCATTTGTCATGGGAGCTCAGGAGACGGCTTCCAGTAAAACTCGGCCTCGACAGTCGCGGGATAAATAGCTCGAAAGAGAAGGAGGAATCCCAGGTATGCCCTTCTGCGATAGGCAGTACCATAAGTTAATAAGACCAAAGTCGAAAGCGGATTTCAGGTCAAAAAACCCACCAAGGTCGGCTGTGTCTGATTCAAAAGTGATGCAGAGTAGACATGTGATCAATGTGGCCTCGATCAGCGCGGAATCTGTATAGTTGTGAGTGATTCAGCTCTCAGGAAAACAAGCGAGCTGCTTCAGAATGATACCTGTGAGAAGTTTAAAGGCAATGGAAATAAGCCTAATTCCTTGATGATTTTCGCACGAAGTCCCGCAACCCTTCGTGAACAGCGAGATGACGGTTGACAACCACCAATTTGAAAGCATTCCGTCGGTGTCCCTAACAGTGTTAACTAGGGTGGATATGCCGCAGACCAATGGGTCACCTCTATCATTTAGGGGGTAGGTGCCCTGATTCGTTTCAATTGATTTTCATGCTGCTCACTCGATGTCGATATGCAGTCACTTAGGAACATAGAGACCAGAACACGGTTTATATAAGCTGAATACCCAGTTACTGGGGTGCTCCGAGCTGCCCCCTAACAAGCTCCAACCAGTGACCCCTGAGTAAGTATATGAAGTATGCGAGTTTCTGGATTATGTACCAAAGGCGGTGGCACTGCATGACAAGAAGGTTAATTTGGATACAGGAAACCCTCAGGTGCGATTACTTTGCTCGTTGGGTCTTGATTACAGCATAACCGTAAAAACTACGGATGAAGAGATAACAGCGTGAATAGTGTGGAACATGGTAGATACAGTCTGGATCGTCGGTAAAAATGACTAACGAGCACAAAAAGAGGAATTAATGAGTCCCAGTACACCTCCTGCCAAAATAAGCTCAGGAGATATCGAGATATAAATGGTGAATTGTAAAAGTAGCTTAAAAGTGAGACAGACACCTTTCATATGTATCAGCATACCTTTGTGAGACAGCTGAGCGCTCCCTCGATCGAAAATTGACGACGCCTCTTGGATCATTACGATCTTGCTTAGTTGGTTCGGTGGAGTCACGTATGTGCGGAGCTGGTTGGTAATACAACAGACGATCGCCACCTGATCCGGAAGTGGTCAAAAGTATTGCGGTTGGATAGATCTCATTTGCAATCCAGTACGTCAAACTTGAGTTGAATGTTGGCATTGTGAGAGGCTTACGGAGAACAACTGCAAAAAACGGTGTGATTCGTTGGAACTGACGCTAAGTAGGGAGCACAATAAAAGATTTAAGTGAACAAGTTGGCACAACGAACTAGGGCGACTTACGGAATGAGCACAACTGCTCAACTCAGCGCATAAAGCAAGGTTCATTTCTCTTAACCAATTGGTGACTTACAGTTGATGCATGTCATCTACGTAAACAAGTGCTTTGAGCTACGCTGCACATGCGATCCTTTCGAGGTGGCGTAGTTGCGAAGTATGTGGAATCTATGCGTCAGCTCATTGGCATTCAATGAAGAAAACCCACGTCCAATGACATTAAGAGTGATTGTTTCTTGAACATTCACGCACGCCCCTTCCTCATTTTCATACCGATACGAGCGAAAACAGGTGGGCCTACATGCCTCAGATCATAGTTGATCAACCGAACTGAACTAGGCTGGTCATATGAACAAGAGATGGGTAATGCCAGACAGGCAATGGGAGTCGAAGACAAGTCAATTTTCTCAGGGTCATCACATCATGGTGACAATAGCCCTAATAACCACGGTAATGCAACATCGAGAAGCATACCACTGACGGATAAACATATATTTCATCGTATCCATATACGGATGAAATTTGGAAAAAGCACACACACTTGAGTAAAACTACCAGCAACGCGTTCGGTGGGTTGCACACCGGCGGCCGTACGGCTACCCAAATGAGAGAACCGATTGCCAGCTTCCAGCAATTGTTAGACACTTGTGACTCTCAATAAAGCAAGAAGAAACAACATGTTAACAGAATTTACTGAATTCAGCAATTTCGCGTATTCTCCTCAGCTGTTTACATACAATGAGTGGAAAACCGTGCGATGTTAACAGCAAAAATTCAAAGCGGTCGAAGGACTTTAGCCATACGTGACCTGTTCCGAAGAAAACGCAATCACTAGCCTCACCAGGGTAGGGCTAGCGTGGTCACGAAATTTGTTTGCTTGCATAGATTTGGCTTCAGCCGCCGAATTGCTGCCGCCTCCGCAAACTGTAGCAAACGGGGATTAGCTTGCTTGCTAACTACCCTGAAATTGCCAAGTGGGTTCTGGCATTCAGGGCAGTCAAGTATGTGGCGGGTAATAGAGCTAGTCGGTAGCTTCGGACTCTTGACGATCACGTTTCGCGGAATATGCTCTGCAATCCTCGCTGACAGCCTTCTCTCAGTTCGGCCTATGTACTTACTACCACAAGTACAATTAAAGAGATAAATGCATGAGGCGGTAACTTGAAAGTCTGGTCCGTCCAGGTTGGATTCACAGAGCAACCTTCTGACTTGATGCAATACCACTACGCCAGCCGCATGGTAACACTTCTTAATTGATTGACGGAGGCGATGCCTGCATCTTCGGTCAACTTGATCTCCTTTGAAGGGCAGTGTAATGAATACTTTTTTCTTTGGGACATCGGTTGGTAGTTTATCTCCGGATCGTATTTTCGCGTGCCAGAACCCACGTGGCAATTTCAGGGTAGTTAGCAAACAGGCTAATCCCCGTTTACTACAGTTTGCGGAGGCGGCAGCAATTCGGCAGCTGAAGCCAAATCTACGCAAGCAAACAAATTTCGTGACCACGCTAGTCCTACCCTGGTGAGGCTAATGATTGCGTTTTCCTCGGTACAGGTCACGTATGGCTAAAGTCCTTCGACCGCTTTGAATTTTTGCTGTTAACATCGCACTGTTTTCCACTCATTGTATGTAAACAGCTGAGGAGAATACGCGAAATTGCTGAATTCAGTAAATTCTGTTAACATGTTGTTTCTTCTTGCTTTATTGAAATTCGTGAAGGGAAACGCCTGCATGAAATTTGTGAGAGTCGTTGGCATTTCGGTGCAGTCCGGTGATAGAACTGGGTAGATGCTGAGGTGCACAGCGTTCGGAGTAAATTTATTCATAAGTGCAAGTAGTGGCTACATTCGATCTCAGAAGTGCTGTGTTGGTTATGTCGAACAATCGGCTATTTGGTAACATCACTATAACATAAGAAGTACAAGGCAATTCCATTTATCGCATTCGCGGTCAGGGTGAAGAAAAAATGAAAAGTACCTTAGTTCCAAAAAAATCCGCGGACCGTGGAGAAGGCAACAGAGGACCATAGCAGAGCTCAACGGCCTTGGAAGTCACGGGAAAGAGTTCGAAGAGCTTAAATGAATTTTGCTGGTAATGAAGGGAAAACAGCGCCACTAGCATGTACAGTTACTCGAACCAATGGGGACCATTAAGTAGAGGAGAAAACATGGCGGGTCGCTTATGTCGTTAAAACACCTGGTAAAGGGCAGAAACGTGACTGCTGCGACATTATCAGAGCGTATGCCAGGTCGTTTTGCACCGATTTCACTTTCGTGAAGACCGCGTAGCGGTCTTAGCGTAGCGGGTTAGGGTAGTTCAAGGCCAAAAAATACACGCAAAGGTGGGAATTATGACATGGAGTGTATAGGATGCGAGTCAGACGCTTAAGTCATGATATCCCGGATCCCAAACCACAAGCGAGACGCCAGTGGCTTCCAGTAACGAGGTAAGAAGTAGTAAGATCCAAATGTTTTCATTTGCGCTGACGCAATTAAAAGTAGGTCGAAATAGAGTAAATCAATCATGCGCATGACAATTCGACACACACATACTAGCACTTCGCACGGCTCTCCTCTGCTATACGATAGCACACAGAGGATGTCACCTCGGTTGGTGACAAAACGTCCGTAGTAATACTACCGAGTACAGTCCGATCACCTCCAGAACAACCTAGGTAACCAATAGCTGCTTCTATATCGAATCAGGTGGATTCAGACGATTCGGAGAACAATGGTGTCACAGCGGGTTGACTGCATGATGCATCGAAACATATCGCTTGTAAGCGGGTCCAAAGTGGGTTGGAGATAAATTACTGACAAGTGACTCGCCTGAATATTCTTTGGTTGGACGGGGATGTACTAGAGTTAATAGTACGTAAATTCGCCCCGATAGTCAAGTTTGAAAAGTGAAGCCGAAGATGGGACTACAAGTACCTATCCAGTGAGTAGTGCGTTGCAGTTAAAATGCTGCAGAACGAAGAACAAAGCAATAAGGCAGTGCCATTCTGTGTAAGTGAAATGTACCTCGATCAGATTAAAACAGAAGGATCTTTATGTATTGAAATGGGTATGGAACCAATTTAAAGTTCATGACTTCAGAGAGCTTGAAAACAGTGGATAGATCAAGTGCTTCCTGTTGCGAACTATTCACAAGTAAGGCCTTAGTAATGGTGGATCGAAAAAAGATCGTTAACGTGGATCCGTCGGCCAACACTCGTTAGACTGGACAATTCAAAACAGGTAGCCACGCACCTGACAACATAATACCATCTCTTCTGCTCAACCATTTTTATGTTTTGGCAAGTCCCACTGCCTGAAGACAATCTTGGAGGAGTTCCTCGCAACACCCTCCAAATGATCTCGAAACTGTCCGGGCCGATTTGATGTTACCCTACGGGGCGCGCCGTTGACGTAAAACTTCTCAACAGGACTCTGTATTCGGGACCGTCCCAAGGTTTCTTTGTATGGGCCTCCTAACACGCGGCCATCTCTACCTGATGAGTCCAAATCAGGACGAAACCGTCGATCGTGGGAGAGAGCTACACTGAAACCCTCCACGCAGCTATCTTGTGCTTTTGCCTATGTAAGCGTGAGGGACTGTCATAGTCGAAGTAGCGCAAACCAAAACACGTCAGGCAAACGGTAGCCAAACAATATATTAACCGACATATTGCACAACGCATCGACTATGTATTTTACTTACATAAATCGATGAGGGACAAACTGACATTTGCTTGCAAAGGTAACCAGGCAAAAGGAAGTACATAACAATGGCGACTACGAGGATACAACAGGAGGCCACAAAATTGATTTTATGTACGGAGTTAGTCACCCACAAAATACACAAGCATTGAGTGAGGTGCCGGCAAGTTAAGTGAAATGATCGGTACCTTAGTGGAGATTAGTATTCTTCGTATTACTCACCAAGTTCATCTTTTAGAAGTAAGCCCATATCCCACTCTAAACAGCGGGCCGTCTTAGATGTGAGCCTAGAACCGTGTGTAACTGGTTGACTAGTGTCCCAGTTTGCTGGCAGCCCAGCTGTCTGCGTTAGATGAACTGGCACCAAAGGTAGCCGCCTCCGTTGGGCTCGTGTAAACTGCTTATGATCCAGGTACTGAGGTGGATCCAGATGCCAACATACTAGTAATCAACAACGTTCAGACAGAACCGTGAAAGATAGTCCATATGTTGAGTTCCGCTAGGTGACTAACGGTCGGAAGCAGAACGGCAGGCGTACATCAGAGGTTTAGGATCTGTCAGGATAATGAAACGTGTTTCGCCAGGAAATAACGGAAATATTTCACGCATAAGCACATGGCGAGCAGTTCACGACCAAAGATACTATACCTGACTTAGCAGATTGCAGCTCCCTGGAGATAAACAACATTAAAATTCATTATCGACCAACTGTTGCAAAACAGCACCAACAGCGGATTTTGAAGCATCTATCTTAAGGACAAGTGTAGCGTTCGCTTTGACGTGTTTAAGTGGCAAAGTCGCCTGACTAAACATCCAATTAACAGAATTAAATGCGGCGTCGAATTTTGATGAACGTAAAATTTCGTTTCAGTAAGTCGGTCGGTGAATGAAGTATGGCAGCAGGTATGAATCTGTCGTAGCAGTTAACTATGCATAGAAAAAGACGTAGGTTTCTGATAGACTGAGGCATGAAGTAGACAAGGATCACTTGTGTATTATTCGAAAGAGGTTTAATACCATTGCCATGGATTTTGGGACCGAGACGCAACGCTGGAATGGCCAAATGTGCGTTTATCTGAGCTGACGGATGAAAGAAATAAGATCGAGGCAATCAGGATATAAACAAAAAGGAACCAAGGAAACTTATGCGGAATTGAATATGAATAGCCGTTTGCAAGAAATCGAGGAGGAAAGCGAAAACGATCGACGAT